TCTATCCGTGCCTCTGTTGCTTCTGACAGAGACAAAAACTCGGACCCGTGCACGCATTGCCAAGAACAGTTCTTGCTATATCTGATTACGGATTTTCAACTTTTAATGGAGGGTCAAGACCTAAGTATTGAAGCCGTTTTTGCTCTGTAAAAAAAATATTCCCTCTCTTGCTCACGAGTCCATTCTGACCCACTAAAATACGGAGCTAGAGGTCAAAGAGCTGCGCAGTGAGTTTGTAGTGTTCTAAGTTACACGTACACACTTCTTCTCGCACTAGTTTTGTGTGCTTGGGAATGCGCAAAGAAACGCTACAGTGGTTTATGTACTCGGTAGCCTGTTGGCTGCAGTGTGGCGTTGTGCCCCTGTAATGTACATGTAACGCTTCCTGCAAAGCTCTACTTCAGGTTTTTATGGAGGACACACTTGCCTTCAGACTTGAGGCAGGCTTAGTAGATACTTATTGGGTTTTCCTTTAAAACAGCTCTCTCCTTCGCGTCCTAGCACCCCTCACATCTCCAAAATCTGAGACTAGGGATAGTCAAGGAGCGCGTCGCTGCACCTTCTAAGCACCCTGAGCATTCAAATGTAGTTGCACATGGTGCCTACCACGCAGGCGCTCAACGTTCCTGATTCTTATGGGTATCCAGCACTGCTTCACTACAACTGAGATTATCGGACGAGATACCAAATTTCTTAGTTCTTCCTAATCATAACGTCAATGTAAATGGTGTACTACAAAGTAACTGAGGACAGCATAGCCTGAAATACCTTCTCCTTTCCAATTCAAATTATACGCCCTCGGGTTCTGTACCTACAGCTTGAGTCCAACTGCATGCAGGACAGCAAATGAGCTCCCGGAGGGATCGCTGCTCCCCAAGCAAGCAGAAACGCGAAAACACTGCGTCGTTAAGTCAAAAGGGAATCAAACGGTAAGGAACAATAGGGGGAGAAAATAGACACACAGCAGCCAACATCAATGAGGGTCAAGCCCACACGACCAGGGCGGCGCGATGGCTCGCTGTCGTTGAGGCGCTGAAATGCGTAGGTGCAGCAAGATAGGCTACACTTCGCCACTGTCCACTACACTTGTTGTTTTCAGTTGCGAATCAGTATAGAAGTGACCTATTGGTTTGTTTTGTTCGCAGAATCTTCTTATTACAGAGCACGGTTAGCCCGATACAGCTAGACGCAAAGCTGTGTCGGTATGCGCGAGATGCTACGAACAGATGGCCGAAACTGGTAGAAGTGCATAGAGGGTGCGTCTAAGCGCACCCAAGCTGAATCTTCCTCAGGCCGAGCAATCTGAAGATCTCGGGTAGAAAAAGAAGGAAGCTCTTTTGAAGGCACTCAATAACGTTTTATCAAGGTTGTATTGAATGTGAAGTCCATGAGGAGTCAAGTGCCCCTCTACGGAGTTTCCTGTAATTTCATCCTTATCACCCCTCAGGGTTTGGGCATGAGGGTAGAGGTAGAGCTGAGATGCACGGTATTTGCTGCATTTTCTAAGGACCTGAGCATTAATTCTCACCCAAATGCTCAAGCCATGAGAGTGCACAAGCTAAGTATTTACGCTTGTGGCAGTGAGCTGCAGCATCCCCGCATGCATGCACAAACCGCCAAAACAAACAGCAGATTCTTAAACAGTGCTCAATTTGTTTTTAATAATGTGACACATTGTGCTCAATTGTAGCTTGGGCCTCATCGCATACGAACCTGCTAGGCACCTTAGAGGTGTCTTCATATACTAAGAAGGGAACCCTGTCAGATAAGCGCAAAAAAGCAGAGCTCCTGGGATGGAATACATAGCAAGTTTCTCAGTGTGCTGAAGGGGCTTGAGGTTCGTCACAATCAAGGCCGTCAGATAGATGTACCATAGAGTGAGCTAAAGCAAACGAGAGACAGATGCTCTCGAGGCCAAGCGAAGCTTTAAGATGACCAGAAAAGAAAAGAAGTGAAAATTCGAGAGCAAAAATGAGTTGGAGATGAATTAAAGAGAGAGAAAGTCGCCGAACGCCAACACCCCGTGTTGAGGGGCATAGTCCCCGTGCATCGAGAGGGCATGCTTTCCGCGCTTTTTCATACATTCAAGGTAGAGCGTGCAACAGTGATATTACTGTACGATAATGGATCCTGAGAAATACAGACAACTGCTACTAGTGGATGATATAAGTAAGGGCAATCTACGTTATGCAAGGCCTGAGTGGTCTCGCCGAGGCAGACACCACGTCGCTGCTAGCGCGCTGTTTTGCGTACAAGGGCAGCCAGATCATTTCAAAGCTTCCCCTCAAGCCGTAATTCCTTCCGTTGAGTTCCTTCTCTTCTCGTTCGAAAACATTGCCCTTTGAAATTCTTTTTCCCACGCAGCTCAAAGGGTGACGAGCCAGAGAGGGCGCTCGAAGTGCACACACGGCGGGGGATCCCTCCCTTTCTCCCGGTCTTTCGCTCCTCCCATCACCGCTTGTTTGTTGTGGTCTATTTTCCCAACTGTAGCTTCATCAGCTGGCTGCATTGTTCATTTTTCCTGTCCATCCAACTCTCCACGGGATCCTTCACACCTGGATACGGTTAACGCTTAGATCAAGTGTGCATTCATTGTCTGAAGAAGATGGCCCGTAGACTGCTACCTTTGTGCTGCCTATGTGCGGCACTGGTTGCTTCCAGCTGCATGCATAACGCTGCCGCTGCGGCTGGTTGGAGGGGTCCGCAAGATGACCCTATGTTCTTGCAACAGTCTGAAGATACTCATAAAACTGACGAGAACACGGATACTAACTTGGTCTTACCAGGGGAAGCCGTCCTATATCCGGAGCCTCATGGTTTCCCGCATGTACAAGTGCCGGAGAAACCGGTGGCTTTAGAGTCGGGCGGTGGTGTTGCTCTTGAACGCGCGGAAGAGTTTGCCACGAAGATCCTCGAAGCCATGAATGCAGCGAAGCCAACAACACGCCCGGGTTTTGTAACGGCTCTGGTTGGTGTTGTAGGTGTGTTGGTGTTCGTGATGATGCATTATTTGTCGAAGGAAATTGGTGGCCAGCCCCGTACGCATCATGAAATGTTTTTCAGGGATCGGGGAGGCAACTTGGCGGTTTCGGGATGGGGCATCATCGCCTCGCTCGTGTTGACCGTAAGCGGAGTTATTGAGTCGCTTATGTCCCGTAAATCCAAGGGAATAAATGCTCTCACTGGAAGCCTCTTCACTTCCTCGGGGCTTCGCCGTTCGATGGGAGGTATGGTTCTCGCAGCGCTCTCTGGATTATTCCTACTAGTCGGATGGCTGGTGGGAGCTCCCCAAATCCTGTTGCAGGGCGCTCAGGTGGCAACGGTGGCTTCTAGCACTTTGGCTCTTCTAGGGCTAGTGGCGACAGTACGAGCGATACGCGGGGGAATCAAACTTCTCCAGCGTCTAGACAAAGTAGCAGGTTCAGGTGTGCAACTTATGGAGCAGCAGGGAATGCTGGATCCTGGACTTTTGCAACAAGTGGCAGAGCATTTTGGGGACCAGAGTAATCTACAGGGGCATATGACCTCTACGAATGTGGCGATGGAGGACCTCATGCGGCTGCTGGAAGCTGTGAAGCAGTCTACCGAGAAAGAGCACAAAGCAGCTAGTGACGCTATCCGTTCAGTTAGTACCTGCAACAACTGCTTGTCCAATCTTATCGATGGGGAAACACTCAACGCGGTTGCTGAGCAGCTACAGCAACTAGAAAGGGAGCAGGGTGGGGAGCAGCCGCTTAAACCATGGCAGCATCAGGGGCACACCGTCACCGTCGAACAACAGATAGCTGATAGTACTGCTGCCATCATACAAGGCACCTTAAAGTCTATTGCAAGTGACGTCAATGAGGACCCCAGCCTGCTGCAAGAGGCAGCAGCAATGCAGCAGCAGCTGGCTGCCATTATCGATCAAGTCGGAGCACCGCCTGCGGAACTTGCAGCTTTCCTGCAAAAGTTAACTATGGACCCACAGGCTGAGCAGCGGGGCGAAGGGGTTGACGCTGCTGACGTTGTGGCTGCCGAAGCACAAGTGGCAAATGTAGAATCAAATCAGGCAGATGGCATCGGGCAAGCACCAGTGGCAGAAGGACAGTCGATATCAGCAACATCAGAAGATGATTCAACAGTCGAAGTCTCGCCACAAGCAACGTGGGACGAGGATTCAAGAGCTGATGGTCTGCTGCCATTAGTGCAGGAAGATTCAGGAATTGCAGATATGACACAATCAGCCATGCTAGAGGATTCTGAGGAGGTGACTGTCGGCAGCAGCTAATGGGATGCCGCAAGCCTGATAAGAGGATTTGGTAGCAGAGCATATTACACAGAGAGTGTCGAAAGAGGATTTAACATCAGAAACACGAAGTTCTACTAGTGACTGTGCGCAGCCATTTGAAAGCAACCAAATATTTGTCTTCCTGCAAGCAGAACTGCGGCGCTTAGGTGCTCGAGTCGCAGTAGCAGGGGCACGTTGGAGGGAAGATACAGATGATTGCGTCTTGAAAGTGGTAGGGCTGAACTATGGGGAACCATATCCGCTGGCTGTTTGATCGTACGTAAGAACCCGCGCACATAGTGCTGCTAGCCGTGAGCTAAAGCATAGAGTGGTGCAGTAGCAGGTTGACTAATAGGAGCGTCACTAGGGATGGCTTGGGTTTTGGGAGATTTTCCAGGAACGTCATGTAGACGTGTCTGTATTTGCAGTGCGCGGCGTTTTGTCCGCGTTGCTGCCTGCTGCAGCAGCAAGGTCCAGACTGCTTGCTGCAGGCAATATAATCTATTTAGGGTTTCTAAGTCGCGAAAAACGAGTTCCTTCCGAATTCTCCAGGCATCCGTGGGTTGCAATGTATAACATTTGAAGAGAGGTCGTACAGCCCCACTTAGAGCTGTAAAGTCACAACTATGCGCCCACATTGGGAAGGCGTTCCTGCGTTTTTTGCCTTGTTCTTAGGCGTAAAGTATTCTGAATCAGTGTGGCCGCAGCATGTTGCCATTCGACGTAGATCTCACACAACCGAGTATTGTTCCTGGAACTCCTGTAGAAGGCCAATAGCATAGAATAGAGGATAGACAGGAGACGTGTGGCGCGTCTTGGGGCTTAATAGTGTTTTGTTGCGCATTCCTATCCAGCGGACGGTGGGCGCTCATTTGCAATATAAGTCCCCTCTGTGGCCAAGGCGGTGATAAATATGTTTCTGTGCTTACCTGCATTACGTGTAGTAAGTGTTCAACGTGTTCGAGCGACAATCCTGAAAAGAGGCTCGCCCGCAGGCCCCCCAATGAGCGGTGTCCATTCTGCAGCGCGCATGCAAGAGCGGCTTTTAGCGTATGGGGCTTTTCGTAGCCAATCATGTAGGGTCACATGGATAAGGGTCTTAGCAGCGCCGCGAAGGGGGAGGGGGGACCTTAGCTAAATTTGAGGAAATACACATAGGGGTCCAGCGGGCCGTGCGCTTTACAAGGCAGATCATGTCATGCTTTTCAGCGATCTCGAGGAATTGTTTTGTGAGCTGGTTGTCCTTTGCCCGTGCTTCTTCTATGGCGAGGTGATCCTGCTTCGTGTATTCTGGCGTGTACGCTCCTGAACCGTCCAGTGGAGCCTCGGATGCGTCTTGCTTTCTCCTATCTTGTATCTCCTGTTGCACTGCCGTTTCGTTCGCCGCAATCGCAAACCTGACAGTCACCCGCGAGCGAAAAGTAGGCTTAACCGGAGCCACAAAGAAGCCCTCGCTGTGATCGCATTGTCCGTACACTGCATCGCTCTTCTTGGTGCACAGCCGATCCCAGTACCCGAGGTCGCCTACACTGGCGAGGTGCTTCAGTGTGCGCCCCGTTACGAATATGTTGACGGCCGGAGGAGTATTAAGGCAGCTGGACGCATCCAGTATTTTCTTGTAGTTCAGCACTGAGGGGCATCGCGTCGCCGTGCGGCCTCGAACAACCAGCAGCGTCACAAGAGTGAGTCAGAGAGCAACAAACACGCTTTATCGGATTGAAAGATTGAGGCGCCTACAAAGAAGACAAAAGGGGGTAGCGAGTTCCCCTCCTTCGGCCTGCTGCACTCGTTCTAGGCTGAAAGTACTGCATCGCATCGACCAGGGAGGAGCCAGCTAGCTGGACAGACAGCGGGTTTTACTGCACATAGGTGGCTACTCAGCATACAAGGACTGTCCTACGCGGCAGTAAGGCTTCTAAAAGACGGCCTTTATGTGCCTATTGGTTCGGGCTTTACTGAAAAACTTTGGCTCAGGGGTGGGAGGAAGACGAGTCTAGAGAAAATGAAGGCATACAGACACAGCAATCTGCTTGTCCTACAAGCGTGCACGCTTACCAACAATCGCCCGATTCAGCACTACTACTGTAACTCCAGCTACGCCAATGTTCTTTTGCGCTCCGGCTGTACATACGTCGCAGGAAGGCACCACCCTGAAGTCACGAGATAGTTTACTGCTGCCACTGCCTTTTCGTTGTTCTATAGGCTTCCCGCTTTCCTTGCTTTTGAGGAGCTTTGCCTCAAGTACTGTACACGCTGATGCCGCCTCCAAACACCACTAATGGCCCGAGCAACAAGGGCAGGGGTGGAAGCACTTGCACGCCGTCTGACCATATGCAAGATCGATGTTCCCCCACTCGACGGGTTTGGTGCCAAGGTTCGACGCCATGTCGGCAATTACCAAACATTCAGGGCGGTGGAGCTTTAGAGGTGGCGGAGAAGGAAACTCCATCCCTTCAATCGTCTCATTATCGCAGTAGTGAATGTACGCAGGCTACAGCGCACCCACAAAAGGGGAGGGACAAGCAGCATGCGCATGTTCTGAGCCTTGGCTTTGCTTTTTTGGTGCAGCTGGTGAGGCGTTTTTATGCAATGGGTAGGCAAGCCTCAAGCGACACCCTCAAAGCCGGCGAGGTGTACAGAGTTGAGTCTTGCTCACCTTGTTGCTGAGATCCCAAGAGTCTATGGGGTCTATCTCTAGGAACCCCATGTCTGCAGCGTTTGTGACGGCCCTTGTTTTGCCAAACATTGAGCCTTCCACCATTGCGTACTTGCTCCAGTACCTACAAACCAATTTGGAAATCATAGGCGGTTACACTGCAGCTGTAGTCGTCTCTAGGAGGTAGAGAGCATGCAAAACTCGTGGATACGGGACGGGAGAGTCGAAACGCAAGGCACGCAGCCGGTTCTCTGTGGTGTTAGAGCAGGTTAGGGCCTTGTCTGAGTGGAGTTAGAGAGGCTGAGGCGCTAGCGCTTTGCTTACCCAGTAACCGCGTAGTCTGCCACTGGGTGCTCAGCGTTTATAAAGTTGAGGGCTTGTGCAGCGAATTGGCCAGTGGCGCCTCCGCTCATGAAGAGAAGACTGTGTGTCTGAGGAACTTCAAGGAATTTCAGTGCCGTTTCCGTCGCCTCTGTCAGAACCTTCTTGAAGTGGGACCCACGGTGACTCTGCGCAACCCCACACGGCCAGACAATACGGTATGTCCGAGGAGATGCCATGTGGTGGGAAACGGCAAATATTTTGCCGAAACGCTACTAGCATCTGCAGAACAAGCACCGGGAAGCGCACTCTGCACGCTGTGAAAGCACACAGGCTTTCACCGAATATATTTTTGTGTGCATTCGATGTTAGCCTGTGTATGTGTATGTAGTAGGAGCTACAGCAGTGGAGGAAAATCAACAGGTGCAGCAGACCATCTCGAGAACGCTAATCCCCCAGCCATTGTAATCAGCGATTTCTTTCTGCACATCCTCCAGGACTTCGATCGGCAGCTGGCAGGGCCCTGCGGGAGCAGAAGGAGCAGTAATGACGCTGATTAGACGTAGGGGAAGCAACAGATTTGTGGGCTACGAGAAACTTTAGATGGCGTTGCAAAGTGCCTCGGGTGCAGGCAGGCACACCGCCACAGACTTTCCCGTGTGAAGCGATTACGGAGGAACCATGACCTTATGCATACCTGCAGAGAAGTTGATGAGTCTTTTGCCTCCTGGCATTGCGAGGGAACGAGAGGAGATGGACGTGTGTCTTGGGGGGTCACTCTTCGTGGGGTTTACCGGGTGTACGCATGCACGGGAACCACCGGGATTGGAAGGCTGGCAGTGTAAACCTCACAACCATAGGTCGAGAATAACGGTATGTGGAAGCAGGGGTTCACGTGAAAGACGAAGGAGTTCACGTATAAGAACAGATAGAGGGGTCAAGCACACACAGTCCCTCCTGCGCGCACCCCTGCAGCGCCAGCGCTGCTAGTTTGCGTGCACCAACCTAAAAGAAGTAATACCCAAGAAATCTACTAGATAATGTTTCCTGCATACACACTAAAGGCAGCTGAAGGCAACAAAAACAGCCACTTGAGCAGCCCCCGGATCAGTCGCCGCTGCTGGGACCGATCAGCAGCAGCAGCAGTGGAGCCGGAGGCAGCAGCATTGCGAACATGGGTAGCATGAACAGCAGCGAACGTAGGAAGATTACCGGTGCTCGTCACAGCCCCCTGGCGGCAAAAGAAGGGCTAAAACCGAAGCAAAACTTTCTTGCAGTAAATACATGTACATATCTGCACATCCCCGCCAATTGTACCACTCAAAAGAGGCGACAATTGCGTCGCAGCATTAGCCACTACGAAGGCAGAGGCAGCTTTCCCCTGCATTGCTGCTGCCAGGCATTGTGGCTGCTTCTCCCGCGCCTGGAGTAATTCTTCTCTCACTATCTGAATGATGGCCACATCAGGTACAGCAGCCGCATTAAGTGCAGTGCGCATCGCAGCAGCAGCTCCGGCGAGTGCCAACCGAGGCTTTTTCTTTGCGGCGTGGCTCCCGATGAGAAACCTCTCAAGCTTAACGTCTTGCAGTGCAGGAGCAAAGCGCACTCAAGCCATAGGAGTAGCGACTTGTCTGGGGGCCCCAGGAGCCCCTTGCCCTATGGGGCCCCTGGCCCCCTGGGGCCCCCTAAGGGCCTCCCGGCGCTTCGCTGCTCGTACCCGGATCATCCGTGAAGAGCAGAGGCAGCGTCGGCAGCAGCAGCAACAGCAGCCAGCTCCTTATGCCGACCCCTCTTTGCAGCATTCGGATCCGCATCATCCATGCCAGTATCAGCATCAGCACCAACAGCAGCAGCCGACCCTAGGCACTCAACTGTTGTATGCCGTAGCTTCAGGAGCAGGGGTGTTCCTTGGATTTACTCTCCTCGCGCGCCTCTTTGGGTGGGGGCCCCGCACGAAGGCAGTCCACGTTGATGCGTATGGCAGGCCCGTGGATCCCGTTACGGGGGCCCCTCTGTAGCGGCGAGACGCCCCTCGCATTATGTGGCTTCACCGCTGTAAAGCGTCGTCACTCCCCTTTGCATGCGAAATCGTCAGAACTACGACGGCTAGTGCCAAGGTGAGAAGGGGGGCTGCAATTCTTCCCTTGTTTACAGGAACTGAAAGCGGAGGCCTGTCTTCATGGCAGCAATTTCTGGGTAGGGTTCCCTTGTAGAGAGGCCGCTTCAAGGAGAGTCGTCTACAACTTCCTCGACAAGGGCCTCAACCTGCGGGGCCCCCAGAGGGCTTGCGCAGAGCGTGAACTGTAAAAGCGGGGGTGGTCAGGAACTAGGCGTAAAGGAAAGCGCGCCTACAACGTTTGCAAAGGAGACGCATGGGCACTCCATTCGGCAACCATTAACTGGAGGAGCGCAATACAAGCTTTGGAGGTCTATCGCGCCTCCTGTTTGCTGCCTTTCCAAAAAATATAGGATACGTTGCGCCTGACAGGCCTCAAGGCCCTGCCTGTGTTTCGCTGTCTTAAGTTAGCTCACTTAATATTATGCTTTTTGGTTTTGCTAGGAAAGACCTCTTCATGTTACTCATAACTAAGAAGGATCGCCGAGCTTCGCAGCACGATCGTTGTATACGAGGGGAGCCTCACGGCCTTGAGGGGCCCTCCTTTTCGAGGCCCTTATATTTGTCATGTGAAATTAGTATATGGCGCAGGGCCCCCCCAAAGAAGAAGAACCACCATCCCGGGGGGGCCTCGCAAACTGCGTTATAAATTTGACTCCGGACTGCGAGTTACCGGTGCTGCTGCACACTAGTGCAGTTCAACTTCTAAACTTGCAGGGGAGCGCCTGCCTGCAAGAGCGCAACGCTGAATGCAGCGCCGCGATGGCAGACTCTGGTACGACGTAAGAGTTTCGCTACTGCAACCGCTCAGCTAGGTCCTCCGGCGCAAACCACAGGTGCTGCACCTGCTCCTGTGTATCAGCATCAGCATTTGGCTCTAGAGACACCGGCATGCAGGACAGCGGCCGTTTGTACAGAGGTGTGCACTTGTAGGCGCGCACTCCCAGGGCAGCAGCAGTGGCACCTACCTCGGCTGCAGCCGCATCCCCTTTGCCTATTCCCACTAACGCCGCACCGCTACCTGTCAGACCGCTCGCCTGTAGCACCAGCCGCTGTCGCGCCTGCTGCTGCCCCGCTGCGGGAGCTGTCATACTGCGCAAGGCTGTCGCCACAGCGGCCACTTGGGGCTGAAGCCTAGTGGCTGCACTCAACAAATCATTAGAGAGTGCACAACGCCTGAAAGCCTGTATTACGGCCTCCGGAGGCTCGGGTGTGGGAGCCGCGGCAACGGCATTTGTCGTCGGATGGCTGGAGGTGTGCTCCTCCGTTAGCCACTGAACGATAGTGCTGATATCTCTGTCCTCCTCTCGACTGTTGTTGTCGTTGTTGCCGTTGCTGCTGACCGCATTGTCATAGTACTCGAAGACGGACTTGGTAGACAACCCCTGACTTCCCTTCAAAACGAAAACTTGCAGGGGAGGCTGCCCTTGCAGGATCGGCCGCTGCAAGGGGTGATCTTGCTGCTGTGTGAAGGCTCGCTGTAGGAGCACTGGCATACGTTGGGAGCAGCAACGCACCTGTTCACCACGTCCGAGGCAGATGGCGGCGCCGTCGCTGTTCAGGAAGAACGGCACATCTGCACCAAGTTGCAGCGAGATAAGGGAGGCCATGCCCGGAGAGCTGAATCGAATTTCAGGTGATGGGACGAATGACGGTGAACCTGGAGGCTGTGCGCCTTCATGCACGCAGCTGCTTGACAACGCCTCCTTCTGCTGTGGTTCCTGCGAGAAGTGACCCTTTGTGAGGAGAACATCGGCGGCATGCAGCAAGGTCGCAGCGTTAGACGAGCCCCCCCCAAGTCCAGCCTCCATGGGAATTTCCTTCTTAAGGTGCACGACGAAGCGGGTCTGCTGGTGGGGGTGGTTCTGGTGTTGCAAACAGTGCTGTCTAAAGAAGCGCAGCGCCCTGAACACGAGGTTCTTTTCAGGGGGGCATCGAAGGTCCGCTGAGCAGAATAAGACGTCGCCACTGCTGCCGACCGAAACATACGGATACGTATCGGTGTTGTAGCTGCAGCTGTTGCGACTGTGGCCTCCGTCGTCTAGGCAGAAGTCTGGAGGCTTCAGGTGTACGCGCACCTCGTCACACAGGCTGAGCGCCTGGAAGGCAGAAACCAGCGCGTGGTATCCATCCGTTCCCCTCCTGGTAGTGCTTCTGTTAAGAGGCAAAACTTTTAAAAAGAAGTTCGCCTTGGAAGGACTCCAAAGGCGCAGGCCGACACGGAAGGGGCAGCCGAAGTCACCGCACAGGCAGGGCTGTTTTGCTGGTGGTGCTGCAGCTGATCCTGCCGCATTTGCGAATTTATATCCTCTGGACGGTGTCGAGACAGCGGTGGTGTCAGAAGCGACCAGAAGGCGCCCTGTGGGTGTGGATCTGTGAGGCCGCCTTCTTGCACCTGAACAGGAAGTGACGCTGAGCCCTTCGCAGAGAAATGCCGGCTGCCAATGCTGCTTGTGCAGCAGCTTTCCAGTGCGTTCTCGTGCACGCATGCAGGGCAGTGATGCTGCAGAAGGGAATACCTGCAAGGGCAACGGGTGCTGCAGCTGTCGCGTGAGAGATTCCCCCTGTACAAGCGACGACACCATGAGAGCAGTCAGCAACTGCTGAAGCAGCCAGTGGCTTCGGCGCATGCCAGGCCTCATTGAGGCGCCACCTTCGGGGGACCCCTTGCAAGGGGCCCCCCCTCAATAAATTTCTAGGTTTCTTCGTCCTCAGGGCATAGTACAATATCCGCGGGTTGGAGTGCGCGTCGAGGCAGCATAAAGCGAAGGCGCTGCTGCAGCAAATAGACCCGCAATCGTCTGGATTATCGTGCTGAAACAACAAAAAATACCGAGGGTCGTAAGGCTGGGGGCTCTACAGCTTCTCCACAGAGGCGCCTTCCAAAGCACGGTGCTCCTGGGCGTGCAAGCGCCACTTCCCGAAGGTGGCGTGTTCTAGATCCTCAGTCGCCAAGTGCTGCCAATTTAGACCCCCATGACATCTTGAGAACAAGGGTTTAGCGTGTCTGTGCCGAATAAAAGCCCCGATGCTCCTTCTGCCACTGCTGCTGCCACTGCGCTGCTGCTTTGCCAAGGCAGTCTCGTCGGTCATGGTACTGCTCTGCGCGGCTTTTCGCATCGGTTTCGGCTTCACAGCGCCGTGAATTTCCCGTTAAACGAGTTTTCAAGGGTTTCTAGGGGAGCCGCACTGGGACTTATAGAGTGTAAGCGCTACCTTCGGCCTGCGCAGACACGCGATGACACTGCGGCAGGTCATGCCGGACAGTTCTTCTGGTGTCATCACTCAGCAGCGGTAACACCAGCTCCGCGCTCTCCACTTTCCTCATTAGTGTGGTTCTCCTGTTGCTGGGGCAGCGGAGGCAGTGAACACGGCAGTGCTAGGTGTCGCGCTTGGCGGGTGGTTCCGCTTTGAGATTAAGTGGCGCTGCTTGCAATACGGGCTGCCTGCTCACCCTCTTGCCGATCTCCTGCTCCTTGGAGAGCCTCAGGTACCAAACGATGACTTTAGGGGGCGGTATATCTGCCCGACGTGTCTCTCAGATGGCGAGGAGCGCTTAGGCTTCAAGAAGCGATGTGTACAACGCGCGAGACGCCGCCAGTCTTCCAGTCTTCCTCTCCAGGCACATCGGCCTCCACTGCACCCCCTCCTCCTGCGCCTACCGAAGCGGCTGCTCCTCCGCATGCAAATGCTCATGATGAGAAACATCAGGGGGCACAATCCACAGCTTCGGCGCCCTCCGCAACAGCAGCTGAAGTGGCGTCACCGGTTGCAGCGAACACCCCTTTCCTCGCGACATCATCAGAACTGCCAGATGGATGCAGCAGCAAGAGCAGCAACAGCAGCACTATGAATGGCAGTCATGGCAATCATGGCACCGAGAGTGGCGGTCCTTCCGAGCCTCAGAAATCCTATTCGGATTTAAGCGCAACGAGAATGAAGGCAAGCAACAGCAGCAGCGGCAGGGATAGAGTCCGCCTTTCCGCAGAGAGCAGCAGCAGCAGTAATAGCAGTAAAAGCCACTTACAGCCTGGCCCTGCACCCTCATCATCCCCGCTTCCCAGCAGCAGTATTGACAGCAGCAGGAGCGTTCGTAGCGAGCATCCATGTAGCAACAAGTACACTGGCGCTCGGAGTGGCGGTGTCTGCGGAACTACCGACTTGGATGTGTGGATTGGGGGATTTTCACGAAATCCTCCAGCACTTCTGACAGAGGGTGACTTATGGTCTGTGTGCCAGAAGATTAAGGAACTGCTCGTTGGTAAGACTTCCTCACCACACTACCGCTGGTGAACTCGGCAAAAACACATCAGCCTGCAAAAAACACAGAGTACCTGAGCACGCGAGCCTACTGACGCACGGAAAACCCATTTCTCTGGTTATATCAATATAAATTTATGTATTTTGTAGGTGTGCATGCATCGCTGGTCTCAGTGTGTCCTACAGAATATGTTGCGGGGTAGTGGGGAGGGTCTTTCTAGCGCTCCTCCCTCATACATTGGTTAAAGCTTCCCAGTAGAGTGCCAGCGCCTGAGGGCGGCGGTGAGCGCCAAGAAAAATGGGGGGTTTCGAGGGCAGTCATCACGTGTCTGTCTTGGTACCGCTTTATCGGTGTATGTATATATGTGTGTATGTGTGTGTCTGTGTGTATGCATATATATGTGTGCGTATGTGTATGTCTGTCTATGCGTCTATGTGTATGTTTGTTTGTGTGTGTGTCTGTGTGTATGTCTTTGTGTATGTCTGTGTGTATGTCTGTGTGTATGTCTGTGTGTATGTCTGTGTGTATGTCTGTGTGTATGTCTGTGTGTGTTTGTGTGTGTGTCTGTGTTTGTGTATTTCTGTCTGCCTGTCTGTCTGTCTGCCTGCCTGTCTGTCTGTCTGTGTGTCTGTCTGTCTGTATGTCTTGTACAGCTCCCTGCTGTGCGAGCTGCGTGTGCATCTATGGCCGCAGAAGAAAGCAACGTGCAGCCTGTTCCTGCACCTGTTGTGGTGTGCGGCGACATCCATGGGCAGTTGGAGGATTTGTTGTTGCTCTTGCAGTTGGGTGGTTCCGTCAGTAGCACGCGGTATATCTTTTTAGGAGACTACGTGGATAGGGGCAGGAATTCCGTGGAAACCTTTCAGCTGTTAATGCTCTTAAAACTGCGGTATCCGGGGCAAGTTACGCTATTGAGAGGCAATCATGAGACTCGCCAAGTGACCAGTGTATACGGCTTCTATGATGAGTGCCTGAGGAAGTATGGGAATGCAAATGTGTGGCGGTTTTGTTGCGAAGTCTTTGATTATTTGGCGCTCTCGGCCACCATAGATGGCGCTATACACTGCGTTCACGGAGGGCTGTCGCCCGACTTGCATCTCCTTGATCAGCTTCGTCTGATTCATCGCGTAAGGGAGATTCCAACAGAAGGGGCTTTCGGAGATTTGGTGTGGAGTGACCCCGCAGAGGTGTCCGATTGGCAAACCAATCCTCGAGGCGCCGGGTGGCTGTACGGGCACGACGCCGTGCAACGGTTCCGACATCTCAATGGCATTGAGCTTATAGCCAGAGCTCATCAGCTAGCTATGGATGGCTTCAAGTATAGTTTTGACGACTGCTCAGTCCTCACGGTGTGGAGCGCCCCCAATTACTGCTACAGATGCGGAAACGTGGCTGCTGTCCTAAGGCTCGATGACCAGCTGCAGAGACAGCTGCTCGTCTTCAGACACTCGACAAGCAGCCACACGCAGGAGCCTGGAAAGCATCAGGTGCCCTATTTCCTCTAATAGAGACAAACACTCAATAGCACGAGCACGCACACTCGCGCAAAAGCCTAGAAAAAGCAAAAGAACGGGCACCTTCAAGGGCGGCGTGCTACGAATTCGATCTCTTTCTCTAGGCACTGTTTTGTAGATGTTGTTGTGGACCGGCCAGCGCCAGCAAACGGACGCGCCTCCCCTCTTTCCCTCCCTCCTTTTTCCCCTGCCTGTGTGTGTCTCTTTCTCGCGGTCTCACAGTGGCAAGGATCAGCGGACAGGATTTCGCATCAGAATTCGTGGGTTAATTCCGGAGGCTCCCGCACGGGGCCCCTTCAAAGGGCGTGCCTCTAAGTTGTGCATAAACGGATTCTGCGCATGTGCTCGAACTAGGGAGCTCTCCTGCTTGTTTATGTTTGCTTGAAACTCCCTGGTGACGGCTTAATAGTCATACACTTAGAAGAAAACCCCACGGGGGCAGCCGTGCAGCGCCGGTTTAGAACACCTGCTGCGTCGCACTGCAACACAGTCGAGCCTTAGAAACCTAGCAGCAGCAGCAGTCGCACGAGAAACTTCACGCGCTTCCTAAGCAATGACCTGAGCGGCAGCAGTCCTGGCGCTGGAGAGCACACAGGCTGCGGTAGCAGGCCAAGTCTCCTAAGTGTGCGCTGTTTCGGCACTGCCCAATTCATGCAACGGAAAAAACAAGGGCACAGCATTAGGACGGCGCACTTCCAGTTACCCCTAAGCCCATTTCTGTTTCTGCCATAAGCATACGGCAACGCTGCGCAGGGGCCTTCCGCGCTCCCGTCTTTACTCTCTGGCCCCCCCCATCCCAATCCATTAGCATCTCCACAAAGCTTTCGCAGATGCGTGTCTGCATCCGCGAACTATTGCGGCCACCTTTGCCTCTCGCGCCGCCGCAGCACTGCCTGTCTCTCCTTGGTGCGTAAAGAGCAGACAGGGAGGACGGCGAACGGGGGCGTGTTTGCTTGACAGAGTAACTCAGAGCTGGCAGTCGTGATAAGCATGCAAACCCTTAAAGAATTCGATACATTGCGAGTTGCGAGATAGCTTGCAAACGTGGCCCTTAAGGGCACACGCGGCAATGTATGAATCACCAAAACGGTGTGTGTGTGTGTGTGTGTGTGTGTGTGTGTGCTGTTGCAACCAGCGCCGCGCACAAGAACTCCCTGCTTCCTCGCCAAACCCCTGTGCGTCTATTCCTCGCGCTGTTTTTCGCGCTCTGTTTCGGGCTTGCCGAGGTTTTTGAGAGTCAACCGCAGCAGCGAGCGGTGCCTTAGTGGGGGAGCTGCCTCAGACGGCAGGTGCATCTCCTGCCCGTGCTGCTTCTCCCGGACGCCTACAAATAAATACCTGAACTGCCAAACAGCAAGCCTACAGCACTCCTGCTACCCCCGCGACGGGTGTCTACGCGATAGGACCCGCATGAGGGAGTTAAATTCTGACTTAAAGCGACTTCTTCTCGGCTGTCCTCCTCTTGCGGCTGCTGGGAGGGCAGCCAGTGCGGCACCCCCAGCGCTGCTGCTGCCACGGCCTTCAGCTCCCGTTGCTGCTCCTGCCGATGCAGTCCTTGCATCTACTTCTCGCGCACTGTGTTGTGCACGGGGCGACTGCCAGCTGCTATTGCTGCTGTTGCTGCTGTTGCTGCTTCCTTCCTGCTGCATGCCTCGCAGTGCAGTGCTCCTACTTTCGCCGTACGTAGCATTGACGGTCCGCCTTGCCAAAAAATTCCCCCGGGACGCTCTACGGCGGATGCGCTGCAGAAAAGCTCGGTTCGGTGGCATTGGTCCAGGTGCTCCACCTGCAGAGTCTCCTGCTGCCGCACTACCACTGGAAACTGCAGCAGAAGGTTCTGCAGGAGGAACGGCAGCAGCAGCAGCAGCAGCAGCTGTCTCGGTAGCACCGCTGGTGCCGCGCATGCTGGACACAAACACTCTCCAGAGCCGCTGCCGCCTGCCATCAACGCTTGCGGACGCGCTCCTACGCCTCCGCTGCTGCTGCTGCTGTTGTTGCTCCCTGTAAGAGAAGAAGCGGCGCGAAGTTCGGCTGCCTCGGCCCCTACTTGAAGACAAGCTGTGGGGATAGTCCACTTGGCATACGGCGTGGCAGAACCAACACTCCAGCAACAAGCAGCCCATAGCCGAAATGTTGCGCGTGCCGCAGCGGCCGCATATGACAATCATCACCTGCGAAAACGAGCAGCAAGCCCTAAGGACACCCCTCGCCGGCGAGACTCTTTCTTCTATTGAGGCTAAAATGCATGCATGCATGCATGCGCACGGCAAGAAAACCACACGCATTCACCAGCTGCAAACGAAGCAACAGGAATAGCGAAGGGCAGACCACACAGCGGAACAAGAAATCTCATACCGGTCCGCCTGTTGGCGTGCCCCCTGCTTCTGCTGCTGGTGCTGCCGAAGGCGAAGCTTCCTGCGGCAGTTGCTGGTGCGGTGGCTGCGCCGTATCGCCTTCATTTCGAAGATGATGCCCTCGAATTCCCGCAGCTTGCCAGTCCTGCGACCTCAAAGGCGGCGCTGAGTTGAGCGTCGAGCAGCTGCTGCATTGGACAAATACAGCGCGCGCGTCAAAATGCATTACGGAGCTGCATGCATGGCAGCGAAGCACGCGGTAGGCAAATTCCTCCAGGACCTGCACAAGCGACGACACAGAAAGAGAAAAGACAGAATTGGCAGGGGGGGTTTGCTGCTTTTGCTGCTTCCATTGCGTCGTTTCGGGGAACGCTGGTGCTGTGTCTTGAGCTCTTCCGAATGAAAAAGGAGGGCCTTGATGATAGCGCTACGTCTGCTGGGAATGCCAGCGCAGTTGCACTGACATTGCTGCTACTGCTGCAATCGCAATTGCCCGTAATGCTGCAAGTGCCGCTGCCACCGCCGCCACTGCTACGCTGTCTCTCTGTGCATATATATAGATACATATACATATACATATAGATATATATATAGATATAGATATATATATAGATATATAGCGAGGTTGTACGGCCACCACCGTGCTCACGACTCTAGAGAACGGGCTGTATAGAGCTTACGGGCAAGGAGCGTGGCTCTGGCAGATTCTCTAGTCCAGCAACCGAAGAAATGACGCCATTTGGATTCAAGAGAAAGAAGCATCGATCTCCTACGAAGGTTGATCCAGCGCAGTTGCTGCTGGGGTTGCTGGGGGGAGGGGGCACTGCAGCACTGCCTGCGGCTGCTCCTCCCTCTCCCCCTTCCCCCTCATCATAGTCGCCAACGGCAGTTTCAGGTGCTGTATCTGCTGCTGCTGCGGCGGCTGCCGAAGCAGCAGCACCAGCCGAAGCAGCAGCACCAGCAGCGGAGGGCAAGTCGGCAGGAACCGCTTCATCAAGAGCCAGCCGATACAGCCTATCACCCGACAGTTGTTGCTGCACTTGCTGCGAAGGTTCATCAACGAACAACACGGTGGCAGCAGCAGCGCTGCTGTGGCCGCCGCTGCTGCTGCCACTTTGCATTGAGACACCGACGCCCGAGAAACTCTATTTTCCCGCTTCGTCAGATTTTTGGCAGCAACAGCAGCAACAGCAACAGCCTCAGCGGCTGCTGCTGCTGCTGCTGTTGTTGTTTTTGTGTGGAGAATGCAGCACTGCTGCTACCTTCGCTTCAGTGACTGCTGCAAGGGTTCGCACGCGCCAAACGGTGGTGGTTCGTGTAAGCCGTTGAATTCCCCCAAGTCGTAGTAGGCTCCTGCGTGTTGTCTTCCTCTTTCACGCATCTGTGACAAAGCGCTGCTGCTGAGGTTCTGTTGCTGCCTGTGATGGCAGGAGGAAGCACTCAGACCGTGCAGGTTCTACGCGCGCTGCTGGCTGCCCATGTCGCACGGCGTTCGTCCTAGCGGGTGTTAAGGCTCCTTCATGGATGGATGTCTTGGGAGTGCCGCAGCCCGTACAAGCAACAGAAGCAGCGCGTGCGGCGGCTGGTGTTGCTGATGTGCTGTTGCAAATGAGCAGGGTTTAGCAGCGGCTGCATGAGGCCTGCAGCGGCGCGCAGAGGTATTCTTTCGCTTGTCTCTGCGACAGGAGCGCCGCAGCCACCGCGCTGCGTACAGATGCTACAGCTGAAGCTGTTGGAGCCGCCGATCCAGCGGGGAAAGCCTTCGCGTCAGGACGAGCAGCTGCCTTTACCTGCAGCACCCGCCGCGAACCTGCTCTGCAGGTGCTTCAGTGTCTCGGAGGGCGTCGCACGCGCCGCTTTACGGACAAAAGACAAAAACAATGGCTTAATAGACATTGCTGCCTCGAGTAATCCTACTGCTGCCGCTGCTGCTTCTGCGAGGACCGTCGCTAGTGCAACGGGCCTGCGCAGCGGCGGCAGCACATGCAGCGCCGCGGAATAATAGGAGGGCAGTTTGTCGACTATGGCCGCACAAAGCGAGTATAGCGGCAGAAAGAAGCTTTATGGGTGCCTCGTCAACTGCAGATGCCGCAGCTTGTTTTCACCGCGTGTTGAGCACGCTGCGGCTAGTTGCAGCATCAGCAGCGGAGGCACTCCCTCTCTAGTGGGGTTTGCCAAGAGCGGCCAAGAAGTCACGAAGGTGGCATTAGAGCACTTCTTGACTTCGTCTGAGGCGGCTGAAGCGGCGCTGCAACTCTTGGGGTCGTGCCTTCGCAGGGTCTGTCGGAAAGCCGTTTGCCGCTACACCGCAGCACGGGCTGCCGTGTGGGAAGAGAGGCTTCGAGCTGCTGAGTCAATTCCTCCCTCCCCCAGCAACGCGCGAGAGCAGCAGCAGCGACAGAGGAGCCAGCAGTGCGCCTGGCACGGGAGGCTTCCCCCGCAGCAGCCTTGAAACAGGGAGGTCACGTCTCCCTTCTTTTGCGCGGAGGAGTGGCTCCGTGTGTGGCTGCTTACGGAGGACTAGCACATCCAAGATGGGCAGTGACTGCTGCAAAAACGCCCTTAACGGGGTTAGACAGCCGCGAGACACTCACAAAAAGGATTTTCCGGACGCGAAGAAACCGTGGCCAGGCGACTTCTTGTGCGCGCTGCTGATGTGATACGGCTGGTGCTCCCGACTGCCACGGATAGCGTCTGCCTCTGCTGCCCCTTCTGCTGGTGTCACCTCCCCTCTTTCACGTGCTACACTTCGAGCTTTGCTGATGCCGGTGCTCCCGATGCTCCTCATGCATGTATTCACCTAAGAGTCCGCGGAAGCGCAAACGTCTGGGGTGTAGGCTTACTGTTGCACGTGTGTCTCTGTATGGGGGTTGTCCATGAGTAAATTTGTATATATACATATATATATGTATGTGTATATGTATGTATGTGTGTGTGTATACATGTACGTATACATAAGTACATGTGTATGTAAATATGCATGCGTATGTATGTGTATACGTGTGTATCTGTAACTGTACATGTATGTGTGTACTTATGTGTATGTTATCTGTATGTGTATGTCTGTATGCGTGTATATATATATATATGCGTATATGTGTATATGTATGTGTACAGGTATGTGTACATGTGCATGTGTGTGTATATACGTGTATGTGTATATATACATATATATCGGCAGATGTAAATGTATATATGCACATGCACATACACACATATTTATGTATATTTATGTATGTATGTACGTGTGTGTGTGACATTTCGCTGTGCAGCAACAGGGCTCCTGCTCCGGCGGACGCGCAACGTCAAAATGAGCTGGAGTTGTCTCTGATATGCAATGCAGGATCCATGGCGCACATGCATCCCTCTTTCTGTTCTCACGCCTCCCAAGCCGGCGCTGGTACTGGTTCCGGTTTATGTCCACAGGACGCCACTCGCTGCTCTAAAATGAGCTTTGATAGCGCTGTCGTGACCTGTGGCAGTACCATTATGCACACCTCCGGAGAAATAGGCACAATGGCATCCATTTGCACTGAGCAGCAGGAACGGAAGCTCTCGCCTTCATAGGCCTCGCCACTTCAGAGAGTGCCCATGAAGGCGGCGGCGATTATATATATATTATAAATGGGGTCTGTTTCAATATACTGCAGAATCACACACAGCTGGTGCAGCAGCAGCCGTGTGTTCTCGCGCGTACTCCCGTGCACACAGAAACAACACACCTCCTTGCTTCCATACTTTCCCCACATGTTTATACACCTACACCTACACATATCTCCACACATGTATGCTTACTTCGTTACACACACCTTGTGCAGGTATTGTGACAGAATTGTCTAGGGGCCACATGGGGTGTGGCGGTAACCACAGCTGCGTGAGCTGGTGCTGCCGTTGATGCTTTTGCTTTGTTGCTCGTGCCGTGTCCGACCTCCAGCATGCGCTGCCTCCCTAAAAAAGGCAGGCTCCAGCTGCAGAAGTGTGCTCTTCTAGGTTTCCTGAGGGAAACCGACCCAATCAGCGCGGCTGTCACAACGCTCTATGATGCAACAGCAGTGCCAAAGGCAGTGCCCAAATCGCCCCTTCTTTCGTAGTACCGTCAAATGTACTGCGTTTTATGGTGTATCGCGATTTATCAGGCCATAGGTCTCTCCCCATTCTGCTTCGCCATCGTGCCGTTTCTCCTATGTTTTTGCTCTAATCTGGGAGCTTCAGCCCGGCGAGCCGCGCGGCGAAAAGCTCGTGAACTCCTTGCAGTAGACGGTGGTAGCAAGAAGGCTTTGTTTCTGAGGAACACTGAATTCAAATACAGAAAACAAGCGTTTTGCTACACAGATCTCCTGGGAACCGCGGTATTTTGAGTGCGGACATGTCGTAAGATCATTGGAGGCAACTTTGTGGCTAGCTGCACCCAGTAAGCGCAGAGAGGACTGCCAAAAAAATCGTTTTTCCGAGGACCGTTAGCACACACATGCCCCTCGGCAGAATAGCAACAAGGGTTATTTGGCTGTGCCTCCCTATGAGGGGAACGTAGACTTTTTAGCTCGGTTTACCAAAAAAGAACATAGAGTGGCGATACTTCATTATATCCCCATTGAGGCGCATGGACTGAGACAGAGGACCCTTTCGCGTGCGGCCGGGGCTCGCAGGTCCATTCAGTGCCTCCATGTCTGCCTTATAGGGCTCTGTTGCTTTTACGATAGCCGACCGGTTCTATAGGTGACTTGTCACAGAGCCGGATCGAACCAGGGGTCTGGGCAGAGGTAGAGGCAGGAGCCCAAGGTTTTACAAGGGCCTAAAAAGGGGCTTTTAGGCAGCGAAGATCACCAGGTTAAGGGACATTAAAGGGTGTAGCAGGGCACATGGGGTTGCAGACAAGGGGAAGGAGGGCTGACGGTTTACGCAGACGCGCGTGCTCTCCATTCTGTGCGCTCGTGTTTGTGCACACAAATTCACACACACACGCATACATACGAATTGCGAAGGACGCCACACTGGGAGTTTCAGGAAAAGAAACGGTGGCCATCGAAATGGAACGCCAACGGCCAGGGAGGGCATGTGCTGTGGGAGACGCTCCGTGTGTTCGTACGTTTGTGTTTGAGTGTGCTTTTTTGTCATTTTGTGCGTAGCTGTTTTTGCATTCGTATGGATAGACCTAAAGGGCAATTCAGAGTCTGTGTGCTAGGAGGGAGGGTCCCTGCTGACAGTCGCAGGCCTCGGGTGGAATGAAATAGGGTCTGCGTTGAGGATACGACCTATTTAATATCGATAAATAAAATACCCTAATTTGCATGATGTCTCGGCTGAAGCAAGTTTAGAGCGTTTAGGAGAGACAGGCAAGACCACATGTACACCTTAGCTAATAGAAGACCCCTGCCGACTCCCTCTAGCTCCCCGTGCGCGCCGTGAGACAGAGCGAATGCCGATTAAGCGCGCAGCTCTGTGTGAAGCGTCACTTCAAAGCTCTCTGCCTATTTTTGTTTCATTTGTTTTGTTTTCAAGCCCCTTATTTCAACTCGATTTGTCCTCCCCCGGCTTGCGCTGCCGAAGGAAATGGTTCCCTGGTGTATGCTCTCGTTGACTGCGGCCTTTGCCGCCGCAACTAGTTCCAACGCCTCCGCACCAGCTCCCCCTGGAGTCAGCATTTCTCTTCCAGCAATGCCACCCCTCGACTTGTCTGCTGAAGGACTCGAATCCTTTCTGAAGGAATTGGGCAGCATCTTCGAAAACCCGCAATTGCCACCTCCAGCCGATTCGCTCAGCACTCTACTCGCTCCTCTTGCCGAGCTGCTCAAGGCGGTGGAGGGCATGATACTCCCCCCCGCAGAGGACGCCGAAGCCCGGAACATCACCTCTGCACTGCGCGACATCTTCCAAAAGCAGTCGATCCTGAAGGAGAAGCTCTCTGCACTCCAAACACTGGCCACCGACGGAGGCCTCGCATCTGCAGACCTCGAGTCTGTGAAAGACATCGCCAGACGCCAGTGGACCCTCTACGAAGCGCAGGACAACTTGGGTCTTCGCCTGCTGCAACAGCTGAGAGCTCTCCTTGAGGCCCTCTTCCCAAATCTAGGCGAAATCTTGCCCTCAGCAGAACAGCTCGGCGCCCAGCAAGAGGCGTTCCTCGAGGAAACACGCTCCGTATTCGCTAGCGTTCTCAACTAAAATCCAAGTTCGACGGCTCTAGGCAGGAGGGGTGTACAGCCACAGTGCCACAAGCAAACGCACAGGCGCTGCTCCTCTTGCTCAAAAGGCAAGGGGACGGCCTTTGAACACCTTTCCAAAAACACGTGATTCGCCACCTCCCCCTTCTTGCATGCAATCCATTTTCAAAACACCCAAATTTTAGTGCTGCTTCAGCCTATGCAACGTAAAACGCGTACGCGCATGTACACGCTGTAGGCCCAAACCATGAATCGGTGCGCCTCGGAGTGCGGGTGCACTCAGCGAGTGGCAAAGTGTACTCCCTAGAGAAGCTATGCTTCACAGTAGCCGCAAAAATCTCTACCCCGTGTGTACCTTTATTCGCCCTTCCCCGCATGCTCTTGAGGCTCGCCCTATAGGGCGCGCGCCCTACACAAGTTCTTGACCCTGAACGGATAGGGCGCAATTCAGCAGTCACCGGCCGATTTGAATAGCAAGTCGTTGAAACTGCGGATTCGCGAGGCAAAGAGTGGGTGTGCAAGCGCATGAGCTGGGTATGGCTGCAACACGAGGCGCACCCCTATACACCCGAACCACCGCCTTGCACACAGAACACGTGCAGCCTCGGCGCCATTGCTGTGTGTGCAATGCACCTGAAATAGCAGTCCAATGCCAGATCGAAGGCGACTTACCATGCAGTCAACCTCCGAGGCCCGCTGTGGCTCCTCTTCCTGGGACACTGTCGACAAGCGAGAGGAGCAGTAGCTGTTATGCGCTGCAGTTATTCACAGTACCCCCTTTCCCTATAAGGAGGAGTTATTCACAGGCTCTAACTGGGCAGCAGCTGCAGGAACGCACCTTGTAGGGCTGCTTCTTGCTGTCGCTAGATGCCAAGAAGCGAACCACTGCCCACGTACTGCTAAAAGACGTGCCTTTTCCCACGCTGTATGACCTGCACTTCTCTACAAGGTTCCCCCCAAGAAGTTCTGCGGCATACACAAACTCGATAACCCCTTGCCGTAGGTCTCAAATGCAGAACTCCGGACACGATTGCAGGCCTTTGTTCTTGAGGGCATTGCTGGGGCGGGCGCCTTTTCCCTCATGCGTAGGTTAAACGCCTCAGGTACAAAACGCTGTAGCTCTGTAGCTGCACGCTGGCTCATCCTCTCTCTTAAGGCGCGGCTCCTACGTGAGACGCCTCTAACTTGCCAAACTACACCGAGGATGCTCTTAAGGAGTTGGGAGGAGCTTAAAGCCCTCATGTTCCCAAGCGTGCATGGAGCCCTCCTTAAGAGTTCCCGTCATGCTACAAGAGCGCCCCGTCGCATGCACTCGAACGCTTAAAAAGATCTTATTCTTTTAAGCATTCAGAGGACGGCATCCTCGCCCCCGCAGTCGCAGCACCCTCGTTCTGTGGCATTGCTGCACAGGGCAACACTACCGACCAACAGCAAACGCAGTAAGCGAGGTCATAAAGCAGCAGCGAGACCAACAGCAGCAACGGCTTCCCAATTGTACCAAACTGCTCTCTGCATGCAAAAGAAAGGCTTAGAGAGCGCTCGGCCCCGCGCTCTGCCGAATATTAATTAGCAACTGGCCCTCTGACTTCTGACTGCATCGGAGCAGCACTTCGCTCATGTACAAGAGTTGTTGCTTCTGCTCCTCTTCATGAAATCTAGGTAGCGACTGTTTCAGCTCATGCCGCCCTTGTCACTGACAGCCGCCAACGCAGTATCGTCAGAAAGGGGAACTCATTACAGGACACACAGGAAGTTCGCTCCTCTTGCAGCCCCTGCCCTTTTGGTGATGCTGTGGCTGCTGTGCCCGCTTCTTAGAGCCCAATGTACAACCTAGTGTGGAGCAGAGAGAGATATTCTCTGGCAGCACTTCCCCACAGCTGCCGCTGCAGTTGGTGCTGCTGCAATCGATTGTGCTGCAGTCGGTGCCGCTCCAGGCCGCGTTTCTGCAGTCGGTGTTGTCACTCTGTATGACGTTAACACAACACAACGACCCTGCTGCTAAGGTGCTTTGCAGCACTGCGTTTGCTGATGGACCTAGTGCAACTGTCGCTGCGCCTCTGCTGGTGCTGATGCTAAAGCTCTGGCATCAAGGTTTCACATGGAACTAGTGGCAGCAACTCGCAAGGCAGGAAAAACTGTTGCAAGGATCAGAAAATTAGGATGGAAACCACAATGTGGCCTGTTTTGGTGCTGCTCCGGAACGACTTTACAGGGCGGCTCGCCGCGAGAGCAGCCGTCAATGTCTCACTGCAGTCGCAGCCGCAGTGCGTCTGCAGGCCCCGTAAGACACTCACCAGAGAAGTTATTCTACAAATAAATGAGGGTTTCCTGTGTTGTCACTGCTGTTGCTGCTGCCGACAGCTACCGACCGCGGTTCCTCGCAAGGCAGTGCCGTTGGTGCCGCCCCAGACCTTCGCAGCTTCTGTTGCTGCATGCGGCAAGCGAAGCTGCAAAAGCTGGAAAACTAGGCGCGCGAGTTGTTCTTCCTCATAGCTACGGTGTGCAGCTGCAGCCGGCACAGTGCCAAAGCCACCAAAGTGCTGTGAGCAGGTCTGTGGCAGTAATTACAGCAGCAGGTTCAGCAGCAACTACTGCAGCGAAACAGCAGTAAGACCCACGGCCATAACAGCAGTTAGACCACCAGCAATACTTGCAGTTATAACAGCAGTTACGACAACAACAACCGCAACGAGAGCAGCACCCGAAGCAGAGCGTCGCTCATGAGCCGCGACGGTTGGGGCAACAGCCTGAACGGCAGCGCCTACTGCAAGAATTAGAGCGAATGGATGCCATCAAGCCTATTGATTTCTCAGCTCTGCTTTTGGAGGCTCGCAAGGCGCGTAGGGAGCAACGGCAACAGCAACAGCAGGGGGTTGCTGCCGGCGATGCTCATCAGGCAAGTGCCAGGATCGACGCTGCCAGTGTTGATGCAGCGCATCTTGCACCACAGTGGATTCGCTGCAGCCAAGCGGCTGCCTTCAATTTGTTGCAGACGCAGAAGCCTCTGCAGCAGCCCTTGCTGCAGCAGCTGCTGCAGCAAGGTTCTGGACAAGTGCGGCAGCCGCAGCAGCAGGAGCTGTTGCTCCTTTTAGATCTCCGCAGTGCCTCTGACTATGAGGCGAGCCACATAGCTCAGGCAGTCCATGTGCAACAGCTGCAGAAGCTGCTGCCGTCGCAGCTGCCGCAGGTGGACATGCGAAAGCCCCAACAGCAGCCGCGTCTGCGCGTCGTGGCGTATGCTCAAGACGAAGAAGCGACAAATCGCTTCCTTTCAGGTGAAGAGGCTCGCTGCAGCAGCACAGGCTTACAGCGGTTCCTGTCTGCAGTGCAGCGGCATTGTCTGATCGAGCAGCGACGCCTCGCAGGAGGGTTCTCAGGCTTCGCTGCGGACTACCCTTTCATGTGTCTCAGCAGTGCAGCAGAAGCAGCAGCAGGCCTGAGCATGCATGCAGCAGCAGCGGCAGCACTGATGAGCTATCCTCAGCAGATCCTCAGGGTTCCTTCGGCAGGGCATGCAGCGACGGCAGAAGCAGCAACAGCAGCAGCAACAGCAGCAGCTGCTGCAGCGAGCAGTAGCGATAATGCAATCGTTCCGTTTCTTGGGCTCTTTGCCGGAAAGCCGCTGCATGCACGCAGCAGCGGCGTGCGAATGCGATTGCAGATTTCGCACATTGTTGACCTCTCGACGGCCGGCTTAGGCTCCAGCTTCACCAGCAGCAGCATTAGTGGCAGTAGAGCTTCTGTAGAAGAACCTTCAGTGTGGACACCCTTGGCTGCCGCAGGCTCTGCGGCTTCTCCGACTGCTGCAGTTGCGCTGTTGCGCTACGCCATTGAGCCGCGCGAGGCGGCGTGGCAGGTGCTGCAGAGGCTTGGTCTTATTGACCGTGACAACAACTTTAACAGCACATGCAGCAGCAGCAGTAATGCATGCAAGACAAGTGCAGGTTCCGTTCTGATAGTCGCTGACGAGGACGCCTGCTCCCGGAGTGCGGCTACTTTGATACTGTCTGCTGTTTTATGCAGCCACCGCAACAGCAGCAGCAGCAGCAACAGCAGCAGCGGCGGTGACTCAAGGGCGGCATTAGCGCACGTGCTGCGCAGCTGGAAGGAGGCGGTGCTTTTGCCGCAGCACATGCAGCAGCTCCTTCAATACAAGAGTGACAGACTTGTTCTTTGCCCTCGAAGGGACCCTAGACGCATGACGCGCCTTAGTGCTGCCGAGGACGAAGACGAAGAGCTGCTCCAGCAAGCTGCAGCCGAGACACTCTGGGCATACACTGCCCCTCGTGAGCCTCTTCTGTCCGCCGCTGCAGCAGAAGCGAGCATTAGTGCTGCTGCTGCTGCTGCTGCTGCCTTTGAGAGCGCTCTGGTGAACATGCGACGGCGCGAGGACGCCCTGGCTGCAGCGACGCGCGAACCGCAGCAGCAGCAACGGGAGGTTCTCGCTGAAGCAGCAAGTGCGTTGCTCCACGTTCTTACCACGGGGGATACGCAGGAAGCCGCAACAGCAAAAAGCGGATTTGCTGCCGTAGGGCTCCCCCCCGCAGGGGCAGAAACACAAAGCACTTGGTGCTGCTGCTGGTGGCTGCTTGCAGACCTTGTGGGCCTGCTCTGCCTGCAACAGCAACAAAAGCAGCAGCAGCAAGAGCAGCAAGAGCAGCAACAACGGGAGCAGCAACAGCAGCAGCAGCAAGCACTTTTGGACGGGCTGCTGCTGCTGCTGCGGCGCGCGCTGCAGCAGTACGATGTCGAAGCAGCAGCAACACGAGCAGCAGGAGAGTGCGGCAGTCCTGCCGGAACTGCTCTTCTTAATACCGCCATTCTCTGGCAGCAGCAGCAGCAGCAGCACGAGCGTCAGGGACGAAAGCTACAGAAGTTGTTGCTGCTTTTCTTGGAGATTGAGGGATGGGCTCTTCTCGAGGGCGCAGAGGCAGCGGCCCTCAGAAACAGCAGCAGCAGCACGAGCAGCAGCAGCACGAGCAGCAGCAGCGGAGGCGAGGCATTGTACGGCATTCCTACACAAGGAGTGCGTTGCGCTGCAGGAGCTCTTTACTGCTTTTTCGTCCAGCCCTTGGTGCAGCAGCAGCAGCAGCCACTGCACAAGCTGCCGCAGAAAAAGCTACGGCAGGCCGTTCGAGTGCTGCGGGAATCGCGGTGGGCAGATGCTGCTGCCGCTCTCGCAGCAGCCACTGCAGCGACAGCACCTACCCCAGTCGGGTTGCTTCCGCGAGGCAGCAGCGAGAGGAAGGACGACAGCGCGAGCAGCAGCGAGAAGGCTGTCTTGCCAGACACGCTGCAGGAAGTGCTGCGGCCGTTTGTGCTGCTGCTCGACGGCAGTTAGCAGCAGCAAAAGCAGCAGCAGCACGAAGCCTCCTCTTTTCTTTGCGGGGTGGCTCCTAGTCGCAAACCTCAGAGCATACGTACTACAAGGCATCGCTCGTCCTGGTGCTCCTCCTCTGCGAGAAAAAATTACACGAGTTCCCAGGTTTGAACCCTCCGCAGTCTAAAAGGTGGGGATCCAACACAAGGCTTTCGAGACGCTGCCCGTGCTGGTAGCCAAACGTTGTCTACACAAACCGCTTAAGGGAGGCCAGCCTTCTGGGCGCTCGCCAACGCGGCAACAACCCCACCCCACCCCTCCACCCCACACGCCACACAGGTGTTGCCCGCTACGCAGGCCTCGCCGCTGCCCTTCGAGGGGGCCGCTTAGGTTTAGCAGGTGAGGCAAGGAAGCGAAGAAGACCGCTCTCAAATATGCCGTACTGCCGTCTCCTGTCGCCGAACAAATCAAGCCTAAAAAGCCATGCAAACACACAATACACATGCGCACGTAGGCTGCGCTGCGCCTATTCGTCAAAAATATGCAGCCACGCCACACACCACCCACGCAGGAGTCCTGCCCAAGCTGCACTCGGCAATGGCAGCCGCAAATACAGAAGCAGCAGGAAATCTCGAGCACGACGAAAACTGCCAAATCAAAGGCCAATAGAAGCGTGTGTCCAGCACCGGCAGCAAACATGTGCAGCTCACCAGCGTTTCACAGCCTTGTGCTGAAGGAAGAGGACAGGCTCAATCCGGTTACCACCCTTTCTGCTCAAACTCATGGCAGGCAGCCAATCTGCACTCACTGGCAGCGATGCAATCGTATAAATAGGTGTCCTGTTACTCTCGTCGCTGCTAGCTGTGCTACTGCCTCTTCTGCTGTTGCGCCTACTGCCATTCTCATTGCTGCCTTGTTTGCTGCTCTGGCGGGAGCTCTGGCGTTCAAATTGAAAATCTTCAGCGTCGTCACGGTCTTGCGTGTCCGATTCACGCTGCACTTGTTGCTGCTGCTCTTGTTGTTGTTGCTCTTGCTGCTGCTCGTCTTGCTGCTGCTGCTCTTGTTGTTGCTGCTGCTCTTGTTGTTGCTGGTCACCCTTCTTCTCTGAGTCACTTTCGTCATCAGTCTCGAAGAAGAAGGCGCATGAAGCTGCCGCTGAAGCAGCGTTTGCGGCCTCCGCAGTTCGAGTGTCTGCTGTCGGGGCACCGGAGGAAGCGCTCGTAGCGGTGGTGGCACCAGCAGCAGCCGCTGCTGCTGGTGATGATCTATGCTTTTCCTTATCCTTCCCTCTTTTCTGCCGAGTCTCGCTGCTACTTCTGCTGTCGGTTCTTTTCTTGCCGTCCTCCTCGACTACGAATACATCTACAAAGCGCCACTGCCGTTGCTTCTGCCCGCCGCGTGAGGCCTTGCTGCCGCTGCCCGACTTTGCGCTTGCACTCGCGCTTGCAGCAGCAGCAGCTGCTGCTGCTGCTTCTCTTGCGGCTGCAGCCCGAGCAGCAGCAGCCGCAGCCTTTGCGCTGCGGCTCTGTTTAGTCTGCGCACGACGGGGTGACCCCGAATAACGTGGAGGCTTCCAGGAACTGCAGCAGTAGCAGCCACAGCATCCACGAACTGGGATCGGCCGGCAAGCCGTCACTGAGGCTACAGTGGCGTCTTGAGCGAAAGGAACGGAGGGGGAGGTCTGCGACTGCTGTTGCTGCCTGGCCTTACTCACCTCCCTTCGTCCTCGTGAGAGTGCCCCTCGTCGAACCAGTCATACTGCTCCTGCTCCTGCCGTTGCTGCTGCATGCGCAGAAAGCTTCTCCAGTCTTCCCCCCCGTAGTCGAAGGTATCGTGTCTTCTGTTGAAAGCAGACTGCGGAAACTTTCCTAGGCCGCTGGGGTCGCTGCCGGTGCGAGCTCTGTAGAGGGCGTCGTAGGCTGCACGCTGCGTGTTTAGAATTCTATAAGCCTCAGAGACAGCTTGAAATCTGGAAGCGTCTCCCCCACCTGCAGCAAAAAGATGAGTCGCAACCAACGGGACAGGCGGCAGCATCTCAGGGGCCCCAAGCAAACCTACGAAGCCACCAGAAAGGCGGTGAGCAGAGCTGCAACATCAGCATCAGCAAAAACTGCAACAGCAAAAGCAGCAATAACAAAAACTGCAACAACAAAAGCAGTTACAGGAGCTCTTAGAGTGGACGTACAATCAGGATGAGAGGCCTTTGCTGCATCAACAAACTTCCTCTTGATTTCTGCATCTGCTGCCGTGGGGTGTACACCCAATACACGATACAAATCAATAAAGCGACGGCGCAGAGAATCGAGGCCCATGGTTGCTGCTGCAGTTGACTATTGAGTGTATTTACTTCGGTTGGAACTGCATCCGTCATCCCTCGGGATTTCGCTGCTCTTGTTGTTGCTGTAGCTGTAGCTGTGAGGAAGCTGGTGCTGCCGCTGCGCACCGTGCGCAGCGGCAGTCAAAGACTGAGTGGCGTAAAGCTGGCAATGCATTGCAGTTGCTGATTACTGTTGCTGCATTGCCTGTGGCTCCTGGATCCTTTTTTTCCTGCTCCTTAGTCCGTCAGCTGCGTGTCGAGCTCCTCTAAGGAGTTGAAGGGAGCTCTCGTTCCTCTCCCTGCAGCTGCCTCCTCGGCTGCCTGTGGTGCCGTTTTTATCGCCTATCCGCAGGAAGGAAGCTTCCACAGCGCGCTTGCTGCTCGCGTTGCCGCCGTATTCCCTGCCACTGCTGGCCAGACATCACCCGTTTGCTGCTCACGCATGCATGCTCGTATGCCTCTCGCGTTAGCTGCAACCTACTAGCACCCCTCCCTCTCGCCCTCGGCGGTGAATGCTGCTATGCACCTCGGAGCTTGTACGCCCCTGTACCGCCTTCGAGATAGAGCAATTCGCGTGGTGCTTGAGAACCATCGGCTGCTTCGAACCTCTGGATCGATACGGATGCGGTGTTGTCGCGCCTCCATGCCACGCGTGTTGCGCTCAAGGCGTAGAGAAAGAGAGCGAAAGAACGAACGGAAAGAGCGAGAAAATCAAGAGAAAGAGAGAAATAAAGAGAGAGAGTAGGTACCTGTGGGGTCGGGTCGGCAGCAGCCCCAGCGGCCGGCTGTCATAGCGCGTGCGTTCCTGCCCCCCTGTTATTTTTTTAAGCGGCTCCTGCTGCAAAAAGACGCTGCGTTTTTTGCAGCAGTAATTCTACAACGCTTCCGTAAATTCGCGGTGTGTTAGGAGGAGGCGTAGGGCAGTGCAGCCTTGGCACCAAGGTTTGGAGACTGCTCTCTCTTTACCACGGAGATTAAGGCTACGATCGCAGCACCGCGAGCACTGCCTGCACACACACACGCACACGCACACACACACACGGCAGGCCGCATTTTCTCGCGCTTTTCTAGCTTTAAAAGAGGGGTCTACAGCCTCTGTGTGTATCTTGAGGCGGATTGTTGCCAACGCTCCGAGGCGACTCGCAAGCTTCAGCAGGAGGCGTCTTGCTACCCTTCCTGCAGCAGCAGCACGCGGCAAAAGACCCTGCAGCTCTCTCGCTGCGTATCGCGCGCCACGCAGCAGCAGAGAGGAGGCACCCTGCAGCAGCAGCCACAGCCAACAGAGCACCGCTGATGCTGCTGGGGTTGCACGAGCTGCCTTGGCAGCGTTTGCAGTCGAGGCTGCCGAGGCAGCCATCCCCAGCGGCCGTATAGCCCCCATGCGACAGGAGTAGAGATCTGTCTTGTACAGCGGCATGCAGGAACGCAACTCGCGTCTTCGAGCGCCTCTGCTCCTGCAGCTGGTCTGTCTGCTCCAACTCTGCGTAGTCAGCAACGCTGACGGACTCCACATAGCGCCATACGCACAGAGGCTGTGCACGAGCAGGAACCGTCTTTCTAGCGAGCTGGCTTTGCTTGTGAGCCCCAGGCCGCCAATCTGTAGCGGAAGCCTCAGGAGGAGCCCCAGCAGCAGCAACAGGAGCAGCAGATGCGTGCTGCCAAGACAGCTGGGGGATCAGGGTTCAGTTACGTCTGCTGTAGCTCCTACTGCTACTGCTGCTTCTGCTGCTGCAAGCAGTAGCAGAAGTAGCAGTAGTAGCAGTAGTAGCAGTAGTGGCAGAAGTAGCAGTAGTAGCAGTAGTAGCAGAAGTAGCAGTAGTAGCAGTAGTAGCAGAAGTAGCAGTAGTAGCAGTAGTAGTAGCTACAGCAGACGCGAACTCTCCTTCTTGAGTACAGCGGTAGGCAGCGGCAGCAGCACTGCTTGGTGCGATGGAAGGGGGCATCGTGGGGGGTTAAACGGCAGCAGTAGGACTGGCGGCAGGGGCAGCAACAGTAGTAGTAGCAGCAAGCAGGAGCTTGCAGCCCTGCGATACTCGACACCCCGGTAGGTGATGGATGTCTGCGCTGCAAGCAAGCCCCCAACTCTAATAAGGCCTGCTTGTCATCGTGCGCGAGTAGCATCTTGCTTCTCACCGTATGTTTGCTGCATCGATTTCTGCAGGAGACTCTCAAGAGGATTGGAGAGACGCCACGCAGCAACGCTGCCAGCGGCGACATCGGCTGCGGCTGCTGCTGCTGCTGAAGTGACTCGACGCCTCGTGACAGCGCTTCGCGGCAAATCTGCAGCAGCTGCTGCGGCAGCAGGGGCTGCGGCTGCTGTTGCAGCTGCTACTGCAGCTGCTGCAGCATACGTGCTGCAATCCTTCAAGCGCCAGACGCGTGCTGCGTATCGAGAGGTAAGCAGCCGCCGCTCCCCCCCTGGCATCGCGCTGTCTGTCTGTCTGTCTGTCTTCGAGGCCCCTCTTGAGGCTCGAGGGCGTTTCTTCCGATCCTTCTTGTATTGCGGAAACACTGCCAACGAACGTGCTGCTTAGGTCTTTCTCAATCGGCTGCTGCTGTCTCTCGACCTAAAGAGTACTGCAGACCCTGCTGCTGCAGAAGCAGCAGCAGCAAAAGCAGCAAAAGCAGCAGCAGGGCGGCAGCAGCGGCATTCTTCGGCAGGTGCATCCTTGGCTCCTTTGGCCTCAATGCTTATCCAGCTGCAGCATCAGAAAAAGGAGTTGGGCAAGGCATCGGAGGACGCTACTGCTGCCGCCGCTGCGGCAGCTTCTCTGTGTGTGGCCAGAGCACCACCCCCCTCTGCAGCAGCAGCAGTAGCAGCAGCAGAAATTACAGAGGAAGGAGCCATAGATATGCGTCCTCTGTTGCCGGGCGCAGCAGGGGCAGCACCGAAGGGCTTCATTGGGGTGTACCGACAGCTCGCGCGGTCTCCCTACGTTGCCTTATCGCCTTCCCTCTGGCTGTTGCGGTGTCTCGCCCCCCATCTGCAGTTACCCCGCAGCAACAGCAGCAACAGCAGCAGCAGCAGCAGCGTAGCTCTACTGGCAGCAACTCTCCGGAAAGTTGTCTTGGGGAGGGCGGCTGGGAAGTGGTCTTTAGGCGTTGTGGCGGATCTGCAACAACTCATCGTCTACGGCTTCCGCTCAAACCCCAGAGAGGTACGAACTATAGCTGTACGTACACCGTGAACTCTTGTCTACCTTCCAGCAGGTGCAGCAGCAGGAAGTCTTGAGGGCATCCAGCTTCGTGTTTCTGAGCCGAACTGGCGCGCTTCGAGGGACGCCTAGTCCTTCAGCGGTTGCGCAGCCCCCATTTGACGATTCAAGGATTTCAGGCATAGTAGGATCTCGCGTTTGCTCGAAAATATTTTTGCAGATTGCGGGAGCTCTAAGGGCGGTGATGGAGGAGACCAAAGATCTCGGAGTTGCCTTGGATTTCATTTGCTTGGGAGATATTCTTCGGCTCCAAGGGCCTCTGCAACACGTACTGCCGAACCCTAAACGCTAAGCACAACCGGCGTCCCTCTGCCTTGGTGTCAGCGTGCAGCAAGTAGAAGCGAAAGATTTTTTCTCGCTTTCGGCTTGTGCGCGTGCTGCAGTTGCTGCGACCCCTTTGGGTGTCTCTCTGCGCGGGCGGAGCCGAGGAACTGGACAAGACTATCAAGGAGAGGAAGCGTGAGTTCTCATTTGTTCCCCTTTCCCCAATGCCTACAAGCTTTGGAGGTGATGCTGATTTTTTAGAGTCTTTTAAACTGCGTGCCTTGGTGGGTGCACATACGACTTTTGGCCTGCGTCGGTGCTGTTGCCGCAGAACGGATGTACAGAAAGCATGTGCATCAGCTGGTGCAAGCGGCCCTCGAGTGCTGCCCACTCTTGGAGAGGCAGCAGCAGCAAGAGCAGCCGGAATATGTTGGGCTTGACGGCAGATTTAGCAGCTTCAGCAGCGGCGAGACGGAACAGGCAGACACCACCGAAGCGGAGGCCTTCCTCGAGCCGCGCGAGCTGCATCAGCTGCAGTGGCTGCGACAGCAGCAAACCCTTTTGCCGGGGGCTGTCGCTGCAGCAGAAGCAGCATCAGGAGCCGTCCCCTCCCCCTCCGCAGCAGCAGCAGCAGCAGCGGCAGCAGCGGATGGCTTGCCCGTAGGTTGGGAATTGTTGGGACTGACTGCGGCAGAAGCTGCAGCTACTGTCCTGCAACAGTTGCAGCAGCAGCAGCAACTCCTTCTGAGCGTGGGGGGCGAACGGAGACTGCTCGCAGACGCAGTCAAAGAAAAGAATGACAGACCTCGCATAGTGAGGCACTCTTGCTTGCGTACAACGAACACAGCTGCTGTTCCTTCGTGTGGCCTGCATGCCGCCCTTGTTGCTGTCTGCTGCGCATACAGGGAAGCACGGGGGATACGGCAGAGCTAAACGTGTTAAGAGCCTGTTTTTATACCCGTTTTTTTCAGTCTCTTTATGGACCTTTGTTTTGCCTACGGCTTCGCTGCCTGGTAAAAGGAGGCGTTTGGTGCATCCGTGGGGGTAGGGTTGATGCGACTGCGCGGACTGCTTCTGCTTCGGCTGCTGCTGCTTGCTACAGGAGTTGCTGCGAATTGCCACAGAGCTGCGAGGCCTTGGGGGCGGCGATTTTTCTGATGCATTTGGACCCTCCGAGCCGTTTGCGCTACCAAAGGAGACAGCCGTCTCAAAGATTGCAGACGCCTTCTCGGACACGTAAAGCAGACAGACGCCTTGAAAGCCTAATAAACCTCAGCAGCGTCTCGCGCGTTGCGCAACAGTGCGGTGGTCTCAGTTTTCCTTTTCTGCTGGTGTTTTCTGCTCATACCGCAGGATACGCGGCGTCATGAATGATCTTAAGATGAAGAATCTGCCGGCTGACGCGGTGCCCCCAATGCCAGAGCCCGACTCACAAAAGGCAGCCGAGTTTGAAGGTTTGCAGACGAAAATTGATGGGTTGCCGCCTTTCTCTGTCGTGCTTTGCTGCTGCTCTTGCTGCTCTCTTCTGCCGGCACTGCGAAACTTGCTGCACTCGCTTATGCTGCCCTGATTGCCTTGGCTGTCACCACTGACTTGGTATCCTAGTTGCCATTCAGCGTTCCGCTGCGAAAATCGCTACAAAAGAGACGCTGCTGTTTTACCTCGGCGAAGTCTGCCGAGGCGCGGTTGAGCGTTGCCTGCAGTGCTTCTTTGCCAGCATCGAATGCTGCTGAGCGTTGCTGCTGCTGCAGAATTTAAAGAGAACACAAAACGCGAGTTAGAAAGCAGCTGGAATGCCTTCTTCGACGACTTTCTAAGAAGACAGCAGCGCCACGACGAGGATTCCGCGCAGAAGGAGGCTCACCAGCAGCACGAGCCCGCGTCCATGGTCTACTCTCCAGAGGCTGTCGCTGCGGGTTTGCCGGAGAGACACGCTGAAAAAGGGAGGCAGCGAGTGATCAAGCTGCTGGTAAATTGCTTGTTGCTGCTGCATGCAAATCTGGCTGCTGTGTTGGGCCTTGCTGCTGCTGCATCCGACCTGGCTACCGCCGGGTTTCGCTTCATGCCGGTGAGTTCTATGCCTGGACACGATGTGGGGTGTATGAATACGTGGACGTTGTTGCTGGTGCTCTACTGCAGCAAGAAATGGAGTACTGGAAAATGCGATTGCGGCAGCAGCGGCAGGTTGAGCTGTCGCAGCAGCAGCCAGTCGCCGCTGCGGCCGAGGGAACAAGCGAACCCCCGTCCGAAGAAGCTGCCGACGATAATGCAAGCAGCGGCACCAACAGCAGCAGGTTGCATGCGTTGTTGGACGCTGGCTTTTCAGTTGTCATAAAGACACCGTATTCAGCAAAGGACCTCCTCAGAGAAAAAATGGGTGCGCAACATGAGCAGCAGCAGCAAGAGCAGCAGCCAAAGCCTCTCGAGATGTGGGAATCGGAGGAGTAACCCATGATTTTCCCCTCCTCACATCGTTTGTTGTTGTAACCTTTTGATGCTCTGGGTTTCGAAGTGTAAAGTGCTGTAAAGTGGTTTTTATTCAACTTTTGCCGTTGCACCACGAGCCTGGAGGCCACCTTTCGTGGCGAGCTGCCTACCTAGCCCGCTGGATCTGCGGCTAGATATATGAGTGCTTCATCAGTGATATGGCTACAAACAGTGCTAGAAAACTTGAATGTCTACACAAGGGTAGAGGAGCCCCAGCGGGGAGCAGTGTGCTATGTACCCCTCGGAAGGTTCCTCTCCGGCTCTGAAGGGCTTTCCGGTTCCTCGGATTTCCTCCGTTGTATTTCCCTCGCAAACTCACGTCTTCATCTCCTCTCACCACTAAAGAGGCTGTGGGAGTCTCCAGCGCAGGGTTGTATGCCGCAAACGGCCAATGGGGTCATTCCACTTTTCTTCGGGCGCCCTCTAATTGCCAGGAAAACCCACGTGTTTGTGCATCTGGGTGTCCCTGTTCCACCTTGATGCTCGAAGAGCTGAAGACGTGACGACTTTCCATTTGGGTACACACGGTTCAGATTCTTAACCCTCAGCCGTACAGCCTAGGTTGGGCCCCCGAATCGGAGGAGGCGTACTAACCGAATTTATCGAAATGCGCATCAGGAATTCATTTGTGACGCTTCCTATTGCCTAGAGGCTGACTAGAGCCCTACGGGTGGCTGCGGGTAGCGTGAGCCTTGACGCACCCTACCGCAACGCTAGAGACACCGTGATACACAGAAGAACCCCATGCGCCTCTGTCATTGCGCAAGACAAAGGGCACACACGCACTTCCTGTTGCCGGTAGCCTGCTTCTAGCTTCAGGGGGCTCATCAGTAGCATAAAATGGCAGACGTTTCAAAACGCCAGCGCATGACGCACTGAGCCCCGCCCGTGCGGCTCCAAGCTTCTTTTTTAATAAAAAGATTAAAGCTTCAGGCCCCAACTTGATAAGTCGAAGCTTAGGTGCAGGGCTTACGGCATTTATACACATTAGGGGTAAAGGAACGCTGACTTTTGTCATCGGCAGCTGATTCGCAGGACGGCAGTACGGTGGCGATTGCACTGGATCCTCGGCTGGTATTGCAACTGCAGCGGCATCAGCGCCGGCAATAGCCACATATGGACTACACGACTGCTTGATTCCCTCGACAGAGAGCTACGTTCCTCTTGTATCGGCCCCTTGTCGTTTCTCTATGCGTCAACTGACCACTGGCCGCCGCAGTTTGGCGCCTCCGCGTCTGCAGCCTCCTCTATACTCAAGCGCAGGTTTATGTCTTTTCTCTCGTATTTCGGCTTTCTTTACAGAAGCCGTTATTTCGGATCATCGAGACACTTGAGAACCTCAGACGACCCCCTGCCCCCGTGCCATTTCGCGTCAGCACGACTCCGCTACGGGCTGGCAAACACTGCTCCTGTTTGCTGGCATATTGAAATATCGGTGCGCTTTGCAGTAATTTCCGGGCTTATTAGCAGTCTCGCCTTTCTACTGGTGGCAGCAGAGTCCGGCGCCTCGCGGCGATGCAGCAACTGGCGATGCAGCACCCGCCAGCAACAACAACAGCAGCTGCTGCTGCTGTTACTGGTGCTTCCCCTGACTTCCAAACATGTGAGGCTTCTCACTTCGCTCCTTATCTGACTGCTCAGCCTGGAACTGTCACTGATGCGGAGTTTGGCTTCCGGACCGCGTGCTTCCCCCTCACAAACTTTGCGGCGTGCCCGCAGAAAGGGCAGCGGCACAGGAGGTGACTCTGTGTCAAAAGCTGTGATTAAGCATGCTCCCACACAGGACCACCCCCTTCGAAAATTCTTCTCGTCGAGCTCAAAAGCGTATGAAAACCTGCACAAGAAGGGGTTTGTGCAGAACCTCCGCCTGTATAGCCTTGTTGTAGAAGACTATTTTGAAGCAGGGCTCAACGGCCTGAAGGCAGAATACATACTCTGGTATCCGTAGTGCAGGCCGGCGGCGAAGTCGCTGCTGCCTCTACTCGCTTGTGCTTTTTTGCAAGGGCTGCTCGTGATGTCTCCACCGTTCTTCGAGTTGCGGCGGGTGGGTGCTTTTGTGCTAGTTGTCATTGCAAAGGCGCGCACCAGCGGCACTCGCAGCAGGACAAGCAGAAGCAGCGAATTTGGATCACCTGCTTCTACATGAGTGTGTGTATGTGTCGGCGTGCTAGCACAGGTCCCCGCGTGCAGGCAGGAGTGATGTTGAGCGCCCTGCAAGGCAGCACAATAAAATCAGTGATACTGCTAGCCTCACCCAGCCTTTTGCCACTGCTGCCTTGCCTGTTGAAGCCTCAAATGCTGTCCTATAGGCAGTGGGAAATGCGAGAAGCAAGCTGATTCTCGAAGCAGCTGCAGAACAAGCAGCGCGTCGCTTCCTGCAAGAGTGTTTGACAGACACTGCATGAGTTAACGATGCAAGGACGGTCCCTCTCCAATTATTTGCCTTCCCAAATCTAAGAAGGACTCGGTGTGCAGAAGGCACGCATGGCTTCGTGGTGAATTTGGCAAAGGGATCTGAAGCAGTATTTTGAAATATCTGAAAGGGTCGCATTTATGAAGCATGCGAAGAGGTGTTCGTCTTTAGCGAGGGATGCACACTGGTTCCCTTTTGATGGACACGGCTTCTCAAGGAGGGATTTGTACAAATTTGCTCGCAAAACTAATTCCTGCCAACATACTCCTCTCAATGTGTCTAACAGTGTTAGCGCTTCCCTGACGGCGTTTCGTGAGGATTTCGTTCCCAGCCACCATCTTCCTACCCCGAAACCACCTTACCCAATACCAGCAACTATGGCCGTCAGGCAGTCAACATGTTTGTTCCTCTTGAGGTGTACCTACTGTCGTGAAATTCTGCAGCTTTTGCAGCCGAAACAACAACGGGGAAATCTCTCAGCTCCTAGTTTCAGCCATCAGCGATGCGACCCCTTCCATGGAGGTCCCTGCCGCTGTGAGAGCCAAGAAGGGAGCGATGTGTTCATATCAAAGAACAAAGGCGAAGGCGTTCCAATCGGCTCATCTGTGCCGTCAACTCTCTAAGCTTCTCTGGGTGCGTCTTTCGTGTAATCCTGTAGTTTTGTACGAGCGCCCCCTCACGGAAGCAAGCAAAAAAAGCACTTTCGCTCAACTCAGAGCCAGGAAGATGCTGATGCTAATCAAGCAAGAGTCCCCGAAGTAACTGAACCACGGGATGCCCTTACGGCAACACCAGCCACTTCCCGCCGTTTCTGCAAGCTGAGATGCTTGCTGCCTTATCGAAGTGCTCAGAGCCAGCCAATCAGCCTTGCTGCACAGAGAGAGCTTCTTCTCAAGCGTATGTACATATATACTTATACGTGGAGACATGTGTTCTCTTAAACATAGGACAAAACTTAATAATCATTGAACGCCCTTCCAGAAGAGTGCACTTCTTTCCACCCTTCCCCTCCTCAGGGTTGGGGAACACAGGAAGAGGGAAGGCTAGGGTATATTGAAGTCAATACACCCTCTAAGCCCCCAAAGCAGCTGCACACAACCCACAGCGCATAGGCCTACAACTTTGGCTCTCTCACCCCATTGATCTAGTGGTCCTCTGCAGCAAGCAACATATATGAACGGCCTAGTAAAACGTCCTGTTCTTGACCAACAGTTATTCGTACACGCATAGTATACAGTGCCGTACTGTAGCGTAGCCCGCCACAAAATGTCTTGCCCACCGTTGCACTTCATGAATAGCCGTCCGCCGTGCTTGCCGTCAACTTCTGGAAGGTACTGTTTATTGAATTTTTTGATGCTCCCGAGTGCAGGGGGCACCCGGCCGCATGGAGTGAGACGCGCAGTATGTGCTGCGAATATCTGAATAGCTAGTAGTTTGCTAGGGAGCTTAATGAATAGCTAACCGGCCTCTTATCGATCTAGCTGCGCTGCATCTAACTTGCTGCACTGCATTTTCCTGGTTTGCAGGCCATCTGCCAGGCTATTGAACTGCTTTTGTCTGAGTGAGCAGCGCCTCGCTGCAAGTATCCACACACCACACTAGGAGGAACCTCAGCTCTTCGAGTATCAAGAATCACACCGTCTGCGTTCGGCCACAGAACTCTAGAACCTCAAGCCTACAGCTAAACATTAAACAGCAGCTGGAGAACCTAAAGATTTCTCAAAAGATCAATTTGGCTGTCGACGTCGCGAGGACGCGTGTATGGGCAACAGCTGCTGCAGCTGTGATGCCTGGTATAGCTGCTGCTGCTTCTTTCGCACTGCACATGGAAGCATTATCTCCACAACAGCGAACTCTCTTAATCTTCTGCACCGAGCTCCCCTTGTGCATCATGCTTTGTTGTTGCTGCTGCAGCTGCGAAAGCCTTCACCAGCGCTGCTATGAGTGGCCCTGTTGCGGGTGTAGTGGCAGTTGGCAACACAGTGAGGCTTCCTTTGCTACTGCAAGGATTCGCCGTAACGGTGGCATCCCAATGGAGCCACCATCTTGTTTTATTGTATCCGCCATCTGCTACTGTTGGGTGGTTTATCTGCTGGGTTACTTACTTCCTCAGTGCCCTCCGGCAGAAGCGGCAGCTCTCGGCCCGCCAAATTTACTGTAATCTGCCACAGGCTTATTCTCGTAAAACTGCTTCCTGTTGAACTTCACAATGCCGTACAAGTTGCAGAACGTTGGGATGGCGAAGAATGAGAAAGGGACCCAAGGACGATAAAATAGGGAAACGTCGCTCAAAAAGCGACGCAACGAACTGAAGCCGCTAGCACCGAGAGGATGAGTCATTTTTGTTATTGGGAAAAGTCGGCTACAGTTGATGCGGCCGCTGCCGCTGCCGCAGTTGAATGACGAGATGCTGATGGCGCGCCTGTGCAGGACGCGAAGATGTGCCGAGTAAACGGGAGAGACGGCAAAAGGTTTTCTTTGAAGCGATGATGCGTAGGAAAAGGAAGAGCAGGTGCCTCCAGCTAGAGGAGCATGCATCGCATCCCAACCTCCGGCGGAGGCTGCCGCGTAGCTGCTGCTGCAACCACCTTTTCGGCAGTGAGCCGTTTACTGCTGTTGTACTATACTTATTACTGCTCTCTGCAGTCTGCTATTGGTTCACACAAGGCCAACTTCTTGTCGCCTCTGTGCTGCTGCAGCGGCTTGGGGCATTTGGTTATCAAGCGCCTCTCTAACACCTCAGGCATTGGGAGTCCTCCAATTCGCTGCGCTGCGTCAAAACCTTGGACGGATCGTCCTAACTGGTTTCATGGTATGTTGTGCATCGTGACTTTTGATATGTTTTGGAATTACGTCTTAGTACCAGGACACTGGCAGCAGCAAGGCAAACCCTGAAGGCTGCTGCTCGCGCAGCATCCCAGACCGTGCTGGAGCACCACGAGTAGCGGAAGGGAACCAGCTTCTGAGGCATCCTCTTCAAGCTTTGCCGCATATGTAGCTAGTCGTGCATCTCCTCCTCATCGACCCTCGGCAGCCGACATCCGATCGCTACCCACGGCAGCATTGACAGCAGCCGACACAGTCGCAAGACCATGAGAATTATTCGTCGCTGGCTTAACCCTTCTCTGCGCTGGAGGGGCAGCCGCAGCCTAGGGCTCGCACTGGCAACCACAGGCTGCCTCTCTTGGGTGGCTGCTACCAAATTCAAGGAGGCGATATTCGTGACGGGCAATCCCGCGGATGTGCAGGCACCGAACAAGGTAAAGACGGGGTACTGGTCAAGATAATGGGATGGCGGGGAGGAAGGGTCTGCTTGAGCGGGAAACCGTGACTTGGGATGCGAAGGCGAAAACGCTGTGTGGGTGCATAGAGAGCGCACGCGCACACACAAGCGCCATGAAAAAGATGCACAGCTCGAGTCCATATTTGGCAGCATTCCTGTCTTGTGTTTGTATTCGCCTCGAGAGCTCCTGGGAGGCCCACTTTTCTAGCCAGAGTCTGGGGGTGAACGGCATGGGGTTCGATATATAAATTGCATGTTTTTTTCAGCTTTTTTGTCTGAGGCTCGTCTTCGGTCGTGCGCGTTCCCGCCTTATGGGGCGCCTGATGTCGTGGCGTATCCCGACATCTCTCCGGCCTCTCTTCACCTCGGTTTTCCTTCATCTGCAGGTCCAAACTCTAAGCCCCTTTCCTCTAACTTCAAACCCTTGCTAAAAGGAGGGGGTTTTACGGGGTCACAGGCATCGCGGCTTACTTCCGCGCTGGCTGTCGAGGGCGAAGGAATTCAAGAGCATACGTCCTAAGAACGTGTCTTGTCTGCATATGCAGCCGTCGGCGGCAGCTGACAGTCGCTACCCGCTCGAGGCGTATGAGTCCTTTGGGCAGCTGTTTTGCCGCACGCTGAAGGACAGAGCAAGGGAAGTGATGGACCTGGCGCCTCTCGCCATGGTAAGTGAGGGTGAAAGCTACGGTCCAGATGCTTGTGTGTGTGTTGGAAGGGAATCTCCTGGGGGGGGCGGTTGGCTGGCTGTGTGCTTGGATTCGAGTGTACGCGTGCGCGCTCAGAATTTACGCGTCTTTCTGCATGATTGTGTGCTTTAGGTGAGCCCCTGTGACTGCACCGTCTCTGTTGCCGGCGTTGTATCGGGAGATCGTGTTCCGCAAGTGAAGGGCGCAACGTACAGCCTCAAGGCCTTTCTCGGTGTTACACCGCAGGCGAGGGAAAATCATAAAGTGCGTTCCTGGTATTGATCTGGATGCGGATGTTGCTGTTATTAGGGGTCGTGGCGCCACTGGCGTACTGCACGTGCTCTGAGTGATGCATGCATATACATACATGCCTACGTGTGCTAGCGCTACAAGTGTTCTTAGAATACCCATGTTTGTGACCTTTCTTACAGCTCATGTACTGCGTGCTCCACTTGGCGCCACACCATTACCACCACTTCCACGCGCCCTGCAACTTCTCGCAAACCGTCCGGAGGCACATGCATGGCGAGTGTCTCCCCGTCTTCAGATCCTTCCTCTCCAGATTCAATGTACGCCGTAAACGCCTGTAGCGTGCGTTGGGGTATGGGGGAGCGGCTGTACGGTAGCACCCGTTGCGGCAAAGCGGTGGCTGTTGGCTCGCAAGACTTCAGGGCATGGGTATACGCGAGGTCGTGGCTTTCTGTTTAGGATATCTTCAGTGTGCAAGAGCGCGTAGTGCTCAGCGGTAGCTGGGCGGGTGGCAGCTTGCACCTCGGAGCTGTTGCCGCCTGCAATGTCGGGAATATTCGCCTTGAAAAGGAACCCGTAAGAACCCTTGGGTCTCAACCCCAAGCTTCCGTCTTGCTTGACTAATTCTCGGGGGTGTATGGCCGCTGCACCTTGGTGATCATTCATTTCGCTTTTGTACACCCGGAATTGTGCTCCGTAGGTCTCCTGGCAAAAGGAATGCCGCTTCTTACGCGTCTTCCTTAGCTACGGGGATTTTGAGTGTATGTACGTTTATGTGATAGGCCTAGTAGGGTTTGTGCTTTTCTCGTTTTTTGCAACACAGGATCTGACGACCAATCAAGACCGGGTGGTACTGAGACATTTAGGCGGCGATGTTGAGATCAAAACTTTTAGAGGTAGCCAACCATATATCTAACATCATGTGTGCACGTAAATCTACGCATCAGTGTACTTCGTGTGAGGGCTTCTAAACCATATACCGTAACAACTTCGGGGCCGCAGTACAGCTACAAGGCTTGCGTGCTGCTCCTCTCCCCGGGTATCCGCTTTCTTCCTCTAGTGCGCGCATGCCAAGCCGCTCCAAATACCACTACCCGCCTGTGTCTCTTCTTGCTTTTTGCAGACAAGCCACTAGACTTTGAGGTTGGCGCCCACGTGGGGGAGTTCCGACTTGGCAGCACAATTGTCTTGGTATTCGAGGCTCCACAGGACTTCGAGTTCTCCGTGGTACGGAAGCTTTGACACTTAGCTGTAATCGACTGTCTTTAGGGCGCTAGTAGTGCATTTGAGCCTCGGTCAGTTGGTTAGCTGCCTGTTTTTGCTGAACTAGCCATGTGAACCTGCGAGCGCGCATTCCAGTGGGCAGTGAGTGAGCCTTACGATGTTCATATTCGCAGGCCGCAGGAGATAAAATCGTGGCTGGAAGCAGGCTTGGGGGAGTGGGCCCACCCGTTGTAGCGAAGGATGCGGAGAGCCGCAAGTTCCTTCACTACTAAAGACAGCCAGTGCTACCTAGCTAGCCAGTTAGCTAGCAGCTGTCTAACCGGCTGGCTAGCGAGCCAGCCGCCCGGGTGGGTACCGGCTATTCTTTTGCGTAGATAGAAAAGCAGCTAGCCCTGTGCAATGTAGCTAGCTTGCTGGGGATCGAGTTGGTTAGTTAGGCCGGTGGCTAGCCGTGTGGCTAGGGAGGCGGGCGGAAGGACTTGCTGGCAACTGGTAAGTACTCAATCGCGCCGCGTGCCGGTCAGCTGTTTAGGGGCGTGGGCAAGCTGAGCCAGATGATTGGCTAGCAAACTGCAAAGCAAAGTTCCCCTTTAAACAGTTTCTCACCCAGGGACCTAGCCACGCTTCTAGTTATCTGCCTTTGGTTATTCAATTGACTGCGTGTTTGCATGTGTGTCTATCTAGCTAGCGTTTTCTGATGGGCACTGGCCGCGGTGAGTGCCTTGCATTGACAAGAGACCAGCTAGCGAGGTTAGTTCTTAAAAAGACCTCGGATCAGCTGCGCCGCTATCTGGTTGGCTAGCGAGGGACTAAGCGCTGGCCAGAGGTGCACTCTGATTTTCCACCGTGTCCGCACTTTTTTTGGAGCTCAGACAGCCGCAACAGCTGCGGTGGCTCCAGTGTGGAGACGCGTGCAGCTGTCTGTGGAAAAGACTTCCTCAATAAGCCTTTGCCTTTTTACTTTGCACAAGCTAGACGGCAGCCAGGAAACCAGCTAGTCGTATTCGCATGGCAATCTGTGTAGCAGCAGCCGCTGTTCCTGCTGCTGCCGTTTCTGTATGAGCCAGGATTCACATTGCGAAGCAGCTCGTACATTATTCATGCTCTTTGGCTGCGGAACGCAGCCCTTGCCGGCACAGATTCCTATGCTGGCGTGTCACTTGCCCCCTGCTGCCTTGCTGGTGCACCTGCTTCTGGCTGTTGCCTCTTTGACGCGCCAGCAGGAGGGGGGTGTGCTGAGACAGCTGCTGCATAACGTCGGGATGCAGCGAAAAACGCGTTGGGGTGGTTGCCAACGTCATCACCTGCAGAGCATTAACAACCGCACCCCCCTGCTGTACATACGTGTTGCTGCGCAGTAGCATATCATGAGGTGAACAAAGGTCGGCACCAACCGGGCTGCAGCACTTGGGGTTCAAGCCGCCTCACCAGCGCTTCCTGGATGCGTTTGCAAGAAATATTCCTTGCATGCGAGCTGGAGATCACCACACTCTTTAAGTTGCAGCACTGCTTGGGCTTGCTTGTCTGCACTCAAAACAGTAATTCCACCGACAGAGCCTACGGCTTTCGGAAAACACTGCGACCTGGGAGATCCAAAGGGGAGCGTGCAAATTCCGATGAGGCGTTAGGAAAATAATCAGCGCTCTGGGTGGACGTACACGTCAGGCCCCAGTCTTCCAAAAGCTTTTGAAGCCTCTTGGTGTCAAAATGCTTGAAGGGGCAGCCATGGTAATCTCCCGTTCCAGGAGCCTACACATACATACATACACACACACACACACACACACACACACACACACACACACACACACACACACACACACACACACACGCAATGTGCAAGATCTCTTTGTTGAGGGCGGGCTTGCGGAACCAGCTAATGGTGACAGGCTCTTCAATACTGCTAATGACTGCGGTCAGCGCACCCTCCTAGTTGACTGTCGGCAAAACAAGAGCAAGAAGCCCCTCGGCATGCCACTTGCAGCTTTATAATTAAAAATTGCGATTTACCCCGATGACGCTGCCATTGATGATTTGGGTGCATCGCATGGGGGCGTAGTTCGTCCGCTTCCCCTCGAGACCGTACATGTGCCGGACGTTATACGCATGCCTGAGTCGCAAGTGTTGCACTTTGAAGCGTCATGCAAGCTCGAGGGTTCGCACATTGCCCACAAAGACCACAGAGTAGCTGCGTCAGAGGGCGTATATGCCGACGCGGGCTTAAGGCTGGAACCATACTCCTTTTCGAATTTTTGTGCTTCCCTCCAAACTTGTCGGTTGAATTGAAGGTTTTCTTCCAGGGTCATCCCGGCTCCCTACACCGCAAGCCTCGACGCGTCCGTAACCATTGTTTCTGCCTCTTACGTTATTTCGGCAGTTACTTCCTATTCTGTTTTGTCGATGCTTACCTTAAAGAAGAGCCACAACTGCATGCGACCTCCATGACGCAGGTGGTGCTCTGCCCTGCAACGGCAGCAAGGCAAGGCTTAGAAAGGCAAGATATGTATATATATGCAGGGATGCAGAGCTCGAGGGAGCTAGAGATCGATGTTGAGGAGGCAATTGGGATGGGGGGCCCCGTCTCACATGTAGCTCTCGTAGAGGCGCCGCATGCAAGGAGGAAAGGAGTCCTTCCACACCTGTAAGCAGACGCAGCAGCTCTACAAAATGCCCCTTCCCCCCGTGCGCCCGCCCCCGTAAGTGGCTCTGAAGAATAGATTTCAGGCTTTTGTCTCCATGCGTCTGGCGAGAAAACAAGGCTTTGGTAATCTTTCAGAACTCTGACCAGTTTTATAGACTGGGGCGTCAGGCGCTCCTCAGTACTCTCCGCAACGTTTTTGTTGAAATCTCTGCCTGCGGACAATCTCTGCACCCTGTAAACTTATGCCTTATACGTGCACCCTGTCACTGCGTTATGCGATCTATCAGCAGTGACAGGGGAGTAAAAGTCTCAAGTTTGTCGAACGTATGGCTCGCTTACCCAAGTAGACAGTGGGCGCCGCAGTAAGCAGCTTGCCAACTCTAGAGTCCGAGAAAACGGAATTCTGCAGGCAAACCCCATGCATCAGACAGCCTGCAAATGCTAGTAGACCCCAAACAGTGGGTCGTGCGCATCTGATTTCTCCAGTGCTGCTTCTTTGCAGTGGGGCATACACTGAAAGCACACCTGTAGCGCGACTTGGCGCCCTTCTAGCAATTCAAAGGACTTGGTCATTGCCCCCCTGCAAACACCCAGCACGAAGTTCAGAACTCGAGCCCTAGTTGAGCCTGGATAGGAATAACAAGTGCGTGTCGAAAGCATGAACTGCTGCTTTTCGGGTTAAAAAGACGCCTGGAGGGTCCTCTACGGCTCCGAGCTCGCTGGGTGTCGCGACAGCTAACCGAAGCTTCCCGCAAATGACGGCATCTAGCTCTGTATCGGGCACGTAGGCCATCATATCTGCAGGAAAACACCCGTAAGGCGTATGGTTCCCCCGAGTTCAGAGGGGCTGTTGACTCGCTTTGGTGGAGAGGGGGGCCGGCAATCCGCAAAAAGGAAAGTCATGCACGAGCCCTTAACGCTATATTATGTGCCCGTTTCAACGCTGCATTATGTGCCCTTACTCTGGATATACACGCGACGATTCCGAACGAGCTGTCCTGCATCTGGGAAACACGGGACCTTAGAAAGCACCACACGCACAGAACTCGAAAGCGAAATCTGCAGTAGCCGTTGTAGCAGATTCGCAGCCTCATGGCCTCTTGTAGGCGGGTGGGTGTCCTACGAACGATGCCGCTGCCGCCTTCTCGCTCCCAACATTCCCCTTCCCCCTTCATCGTCTAGCACCCTGACTCCCCTTGAGGCTTACAATGTAGAGCTGCTGAACTTGCTGGGCGAAAGGCCCCCTAAGGAAGGAAGTGGCTTTTCTCCACAATCGCTCAGCCGCCGAGTTTGCCACAGGATCTCTAGGGCGCGGCACCTGCAAGCACAGTTAGCTCTAAACACTTGTCCTTCTCGCTGCATGCACAGACCGACTGCGACCAAGAGCCCGCAGAGAACATCCGCACCACATCAGGGTAGCTCGTACGGCTGTCATGCCTCACAGTGGCATAGTGAAGGCCTTCCTGCTGCAGGAAACTTGAAACCAAGCTAAGGGTTCCATCGCTCAAGTCCCTGAAAGCGCAGAGTCTCTCTGCGCAAAAAAAGACATCCCAAACTCTGAAGCCTTCGGAGTATCTGGGTGCACAGACAGACGGCCACAGCCACCCATAGACACAAGACAGAAAGAAAGCTTGAAAGATGGCTTGGATTTACCGAAGCGATACATCAAGAGACGACTTTCTTGCTGGATCAGCCAGCGCTGCTTATCACGGTCCCGGCTGAATCTGCATCACAAAATCCGTCATGCCATGAAACGTCCAAAGCCTCTAAGCCGCAACCTGAGAAGTGTGTTCAGTGCGCGGGACGCGCAACACTTGACGGCCAAGCGCTCCACACAAGCAATCCATACGGTTTGCGTTAATGGTGTAATCGGGTGCTCCAGGCGTTTTAAAGCTCACGCTAGGCGGAGGGCAAAGTGCGACACGCAGTCTCTTTCCGAAACTTCCTGCCTCTGGGCTTCAGTAGCTGTTGCCGAGGCTGCAGGCGGTAGCATCAGCCCCCCCTCCTGCAGCATCTCCTCCAGCTGCACATAGAGCGGCTTGGTGGGTGTTGCGGTTGGTGCTACAGCTCCTGCAGCTGCTGCAGGCGTGCCAGGTGTGCTTCGCAAAAGGGCGGGGTTTGTAGAAGAGTCCAACCCGAACTTTTCGTCGAGGAAGTGCAACACTGCGCAGACACCGCAAACCCCTAAGCGCCAGTTTTACGGACATCCGTAACTCTAAATCGGTGAACCCAAAGAATCCCCAGCCCTAGAACACTGCTTTAAGGCCGGGCCTCTGAACGCCGAAGTGCAGCGCAGGGATCTGCGATGGGAATCAGAGTATGCCTGGGGTAGAGTGTGGAGTTTGCTGGTTTGCTTACCGCGGAGCCGGTGAGCTGTTGCGGCTTCAAAGACATCCACCTGCGCGCTGGGTGATGAGGGGATTTGTCCGTACACCGAAATTGGGTGTGGGAACCTCCCCAACAAGCCCAAGGGCCGGTGAGCCTCGCTGGATCGGGAGGCATGCGGCATTGCGTTTAGCCACACACTCTGTAAACCATAAAGCGCAAGCGAGAGACCCTAGGCAGCAACACAAGGGGAGAAGGCGCGCACGCCTTTGAACCGAAAGAAGGAAGCAAGGAGCTGGCCCTTGCAAAAGGAACTCCGCAGGATAAAGTCTGAACTGTGAATCATGAACCCTCGTGGTGGGCAGCACTGGAACCTTCGGCCTTCGGCCGACGTCAGTCTATTAGCAGAGTCAAAGACACCATAGAAACCATTAAATGTTTCTTTGCGAACTTTGCCTCATGGAAGAACTCGAATTATGTGGCGACAACCCCACCGTAACCACCCATGCAGCCCCAGTAGAGAATGCTGCACCAGCAGCAGCGGGGTAGTAGCCATGAGCAGGAACTCTCCGGGGGGCCCCCTCGGGGCCCTACCCCGCGTGCGACCGTTGCGTTCTCGTGGAATCCCGAATCAAACTCTGCCATCGAGACTGCAGTGGAAACATCGAGACTCTCGTAAGAAGACCACTGGCCCCAGCAAATTCTGGCATAACGTGGTTTTAACAGAAATCCGATGGCACTTGCCCCTGGCCCGGATCCCTTAGCCTCTCTACTCACCCCTTTGGGGTGGTCTGACTGATTTTTGGCATGCCGTGTGCTTCTGGGAGGCTGGAACAGCCTGATGCTGCCCACCGCAGGAGTTTGGGGTAGATAGTCAAGGAGATGGCTTCCGCCACTCTTTTCTGCCTTGGGCATGCGCGGGTTTCAGTGCATCCACCTCTCACCCTCCCCTTCTGTTCAGAGCTACCCGTGCAAATCAAGGCTGCAGCGGGAGAGTTGGTGTGCGCGCGCGGTTTTGCCACGAACGACAAGGGGAGAAGGACCATATCGCCCTCTGCGGGGCCGCTCTGCAGCAAGCCTCCTTCACCCTTTGATGCACAGAAAAGCAAAATTGAACGCTGGCTTGCCGCTTCTGCTTCTGCTCTGGTGCTGCGGCATCAGCAGCTGCAGCAGCTGCAAAAACAGAAGCCGCTGGTCGCTACCTTGATGCAGCGGCCGCAGCAGCTGCTCTTCCAGCAGCAGCAGCAGCAGATACTGAACGAGTACAAAAGCAAGCTCAAAGAGATATATGGGCAGGCGTACGTCCACCGCGAGTGGCCACTGCTGCGCTTTGCAGCAGAACAACACTTCAAGAAACCCTAAGCCCCCCTTTAAGGTGGGCTTAGGGAAATAATTAGCTTCAGACACAATGCGAACTTTAGAAAGACTTTTTGAGTGCTTTCTGAGAGAGCTTTCTCCCTCCTGAATCTGGCTGAACTACACTTTTGGTGCTTTCTACTACACTAGCAAGGCTTTCTGTAGAATCCGAAAAACAAGGACCACTCGTTTTTTGTGTCAGCACCACTTATGTACTGCAAATTAGCATTAACTTGATATAATAAGATGTAGTCTTCTGTGTCTAACGTCTCCCCTAACGTCTCTGTTGGGAGATACTTAAGTCTGAACATGGTTCCAGCTTGACAAAAAGTTACGGCGTTCGGGAAGAGTCTCGCCTGCCTGGGCCCCTCAGTGCTTTCACATGAGGTGAGAGGGACGGCTACGACGCGAGTTGCTGTAATGTCTATTGAGCACTGCGAGCGTTCATTTGTAGCTGCACTTAGTTTGTACGGGGGACACCAGCAACGCTGGGTCCTCGCATATATGGCGCGATAGCTCTTCTGCGGCAAGTCAGAAGCAAGAAAAGACCAATGAAATAGTCCAATCTCAACTCGTTTACATATAAATATTAGTGTAGCAGAAAGCTCCATAGCAAAACTTGGCCCGGTAAAGTTCTGGGCTCTGCAGGTGGCAATCTAGGTTACCATAGCTAGCCTTTATGTTTTCTTCCGGCACATCTGTGGTATTTTGGGAATGAGGTCTAAAGCGCAAGTATTTGAGCTACTCCTCCATGTGTAGGACATAGGCTGTTCTGGGGTAGGGTTTACGTGCGCCTTATTATGCATAGGCTCTGGATTGAGTAGAGGTTTCACGTTGAGATCTGGCAAAGAAAGCAAGTTGAATGCTGCCCATTGTAGAAGCTAAAAAAGGGGTTTGCGGAGCCACAGGCAACGGGGTTAAGGGTTTATGGATCAGCGGGCAGCAACTCATAGTGGTTGTGGCTAGGGTCCAGCGTCCAGGTCAAGGCAGCGAAGCCTACGTTGGTTAAGAGAAAAACCTTAAATGTTTGGGTCTAAGCCCTTCAAAGCTACACGCCAAACACCTAGTGCAGACTGCATGATCATTCTCAAGCACAGCTGTGAAGCTAAGATGCAGCAGCTGCTTATTTGGAGATTCAGCTGATGTACGGGCTAACAGTGCAGCGTACCCAGGATTCCCAGGCCCTCTCTGCCTCTCTGAGAGCTCACCACCGCTCCATCCACCCTTCAGCTTGCAAATCTTCGAGTTTTCTACTCTAAGCCTTATGGAGTTGCCCCCCTATAGGGGCAATGTGGAAGCCCGACTGCGTACGTGTGTCGATCGTGCAGCATCGTCGCCATGCTCCACAGTACGTTGCTCAGCTTTAACGCCGTCCTTCTTTCACTCTATGTCTCTGAATACGCCATTTAGGAGCTTCAGAGACTACAGGTTCAGCGTTAGGGTTTGAGTTTCACGCTTGAGCGCAATAATTTCCCAGGCCGCCGAGGGGACTGACCGTACTCAGTAACTGTGTGCTTTTAGCTATTGTTATCGCTATTTTGCTTTTTTCATCAAAATACTGTTTTTCCTTATTATGAATTGCGCTGTAGCTGGGGTTTAACGTCGGCAAAGTGCATACCAGGAATGCGAGTGCTGAATGCGCTGGCTGGTGTCTTGAAGCCATCGGAAGGCGCGGCAGGACACCTCTCAGTGTCGCACCTCCGCCCCTTGGTGCTCAATAAAGCCGGGTCTTTAGACGCAGCTTGCGAGGGATTATCGTGTGACCGGAGCTATAAGCGTATACTCTGCACTGCCACTGGTACAGCGGCTGCTGGCAGTGCCGCTAGCGACGACGCACAAGACGCACTATAAGGACCTCTTAATTTCACACGGGCTTTGTTTGAAACCCCTATGCTACTTGCCGTGAGAGCAGCAGCATCCTAAACAGGAACCACGAGTACGACACCAGCCGCGGTCGCAGCTGCAACACAGGCGGCTACACAGCAACAGCAACAGCAACAGCAGATGATCTCGAAACGTGCACGAGACAGCATCAATGCTATCAGCCGCACCAGCACTACCTGCCACAGCTTTTTAATCAATGATGGGGACCAGTGCTCCTCCCTGAGGAGCAGTGACAGCCAGTGGAGTAGCAGCACCCAGCAGGACAGCAGGAGTAGCGAAAGCGGTCAGCAGCACTCACAGCAGCAACAGCAGCCTATGTAACAGCTCCTGTACTATGGCGCAAGAACAGGTGGTTCGTAAGTTGCAAGGCAGCAATGATGTAGGCAACTACATGATCCGCACAAGCATGAGCCAAAGGATCAGTAGCAATCCCAGGGGCGTTGTTAGACGCGCATTGAACCACTATTGGAGCGTAGGATCTTCATTTCGCTGGGGCCACCGCCGATCGGTTCTGGTTGGCATCTCGTGCTTTTTCTACCTCGTTCCCTCCTTTTGCCTCTTCTACACCAGCAGGAGCGGTCGGAGCCTTAGGAGCGTCGAGCATGAGGTGGAGGCGTATGTATGGCTGGTTGTGACCTTAGCTTCATTTTTGTCGGACTTCATCTTTTCGGGTCAGAGGCATAATTGGGTTGTACGTGCAGTCCATATGACAGATCGCTGGGTGGCTTCTGCTGCGCTACTGCTGCAATGCATCTACAATGTACCGCTGTGGTTTGCTGCATCCTTCTCAACCGGCTGCCTCGGCCTGATACTGGTGCTTTGCTGCTGTTGCGTCAAGTCTTTAGGAGCATCTGCCTCCTGTTTCTCCGCGTATGTCTGGTCACACACGAACTGGCACCTCGCGGGGGCTGTAGCACGGAGCATCATGGCATTCGTGGAGTAATCTTGCTGCTCTGCTGCTATCGACTCATCGCTCCGCTTCGATGAGCAGCTACTCGCTAGCGGCAGCTGCTGATGCTGAAACAGCAGCAATACAGCTCCCCCAGCAGTAGGAACACGCAGGAAGCGCATATGTCCTTTACATATCGTCACCAGTTGGACCAGCGGCGGCATCAGTGCGTAGAATTGCAGCAAGAGGCACTAGGGCAGCCGAAAGCGCACATTTCTTAGCGCTGTGGAGTATTCAATTGGCAGCATGAAGCCACCTTGGCAGTGATTTGTGCATGAGGCTGTTTTCGTGCTGGCATCTGGCTTCCCAGCTTAGACTTGCATCCTTTTGTAATAGGAATAACAATTGAGATCTGAGACCTATTCCAAGAACAAGCATACTCTTCTCACTGGTCACCCTTCTTTGCCACGTATTTAATGATAGGGTTCGGGACTCCCGAACATTCGATGGTAATGTTAAGCTGTCTGCTAAGGCGGGTGGCGCTGTTGTACTTTGAGTTTTCTGTGTGTCCTGCAATGCCGTAATATATCTGCTTGTCCGTACTTTATCTAGCGTTCCATCTAACGCAGAAACACAGACCCAAGAGTTCCTTGTAGAGATTCCCTTTTTTGACAGAGACTCTGCTGCTCATGGACTCGGATGGACATATTTAGAATTAAACTTAGGTATGGTTTTTATAACTTGTTGACAGCTAGGGGACGCTTTACAGAGAGACTGAGATGTGGAATGTATTAGGTGTGCAGCTCCTGTTTTACCGATACAGTGAGGCTTCTTGTGAGGCCTCCGACTACAGAGTCATAATGTGTACGAACACCTCTACACAGCGATCAATTGATTCTACTTCCTCTCCAATATCCTGGGCTCTCCCAGTTGCCCTGAGGCCATGTTGTCCTTTGTGGATTGACTGTCTGTGTAGTGGGCTGAGCTACACTTGACCAATTACTACTGCATCAATTATATTAGCTACGAATTGGGAAAGAAGTGACTATTTGGTTTGCTTGTAGGGCTTATTATCGCACGATGTTGCTTCTTAGCTTGATATGGGAAAGTGTGACCTGGCGTTCGTCTGCTATGTGTGCTATTTGCAACTAGCTGTGATTGCTCGCAGTCCTTACAGGGAGCAGCAATCCACCTTAGCCAACTCTGTCCCCTCATGTGGCTAACTCTGAGGTGCGCGGTGAGGCTAGGTAAAGCAAAAGCCCTTAAAGAAAACACTCTAAAACTCTCGTTTGAGCCTGTGAGTGTAGAGCTAGATGTCAGCCTGCAACGACGTCATATAGAGCGTTACACTTGGTTGCATCACATGGTTCAATGTAGCTATTATGTGCTTATCAACTGAGTTTGGAAGCAAAGAGTTGTCAGGATTCCCTATAAAATTTGCCTCTGGTATCCGATACTCGGATGTTTCGAAGGCAACGGTCTGGGAAAATACCAGTGGCGGTGAAAGTGGGATGAGGCGCAAAGCGTATGGAGAAGGCTGAGGCCGGCCTGCACGATGTTCTGAACACAGCAGCTCCATAGGTGGTAGAGAGGCACGATTTTCAAGGCGCTGATATAGCTACAAAAGCGTCGCCAATGCGACCAGAGAAGTATGAAGGTCGTAATGATGGGCGTGTACTAGACGCCTTCATCAGCAGGCTGGAAAAGTACGTCGCGATATACCCCTAAGATAGAGAAAAGAGTGCTCCTTGGAGGAAGAAGTACTTCGTTGCTGCCTCTATCCATGCAGAATAATTCATGCACCGGTGAAGATTACCTTCGTTTAAGCCTTCATTTTTAAAATCTTGGAATTTCGGTCGATTGTATATTCAGTTCAACAACCAGTCTTGGAAAAACTGGGAACGCTGAACAGATGAATCTCACGTAGATCGGTGTATCGAGAGCTATGAGTTTTGGTTCACAAAAGCCACAACGGGTACTTTATCAGTAATTTCGCTAAGCTCTACCCATATTATCAGGCTAGGTGGGTGCAGGATGGGCACCGACTATGAACAGTAACCGGGCTACCAGCTGGCTTTCAGCAAGTAATTGAATACGTTTACTATCAGAAGCAAATGCGTGCAACTTCTGCAACCTGGGTTGGAAAGGAAGAGTCAAATCGGGGAATAGAACCTCGTATTTTTGCGGGCCTAGTCTACCGTCTACGATGAACGAGAAAAGGAGGACAGACGCAACCCACACTCTTAGGCAGCTCAGAAAACAGCCAAAGGAAGCAGGCTGCTTGGCGAACAACTAGGGCGCATGAGGGAAATGACAAGCGCCTTCGCACGCCGCAGTGCAGTGAACGAGGCTACAGAGGATCAAGCCTCCCTGGGGGACCCACCAAAAGTCAGTTCTGGTATGACATACTTTAAACATACTGGTCGGGAACTGCTGGGGTTGCTCGCAACTGGGTGTGAAGTGGATCTATAATCCGAGATGGAGCCTGAATGCAATCTGCATATTCACTCATTAGCGCAAACTGTGACACTATTATTTGCTGATGGGCCGCAGAACGCAAGGAATGGCGAAACTACAACAGGTACACACTACTTCAAATCGGCATTGGGCCCTAGCAGCATGTTCCGTGACTTGTATGTTGGACGTATGGGCCGCGACGTAACAATACTAGGAATGCCATGGACTACCCAATAGTAGGCGCCCATAAGGCCATAGCCGCGCCTTGTGGTTGCCCAGAGAGCGTAAGAAAAAAGCATCTACTGATTCTCTTAACACCGACCACTTCATCTATAGTGAGTTGCGTATAGTAGTCGATGCCGAAATGTGGTAAGTCAGAGTCTCCATGGGGGGGGTTCAGCAGTACAGCAAAAGAAGAATATTTGTATCATGCACGCAACCACCTCTTTATTAGGCAACTCAATGAACTTTCAGCCTTTAAGCTGAGGAGCAGCATTAAGGGCAAATATTAAGAAGTACTCTGTGAATGTGCTAGTATTGAGGAGCGTCCAGCAGGCTGGCCGCTTTTTGGTCGTCCAGCACACCATGTTGAGCAAACTCTTGGGTCAGCCTGAGGCTGTGTTTCGTTGTATTAAAAGTCCCACAGCAAGAAGAGGAGATTGACTGGCAGTACAGTTATTTGCTGAAAAACAGCAAAGTTAAGGATTCGGCCAGCGCCTTTAGACACAACTCGGTGTTGATTTTGGGTGAGGTCTATTTTAGCCCTTGAACAGCTTTTCTGTATACCATGATTTCTCGATGCCTCATGTTGGCTGATTATTTCTTTTAAAGCGTGGTTTTCCGGTCGAATCGACATATGACTCAACTAAAATTGTCTTTCAAATCCCCTTTCGCCCAAATAGCATGCAGGAAACGGCACTCCACACTAACACTTGCGCGCAGGGTTGTACCTGTATTCCATTTGAATCTGCGTTGATACCTCAGTTGAATGCAACGGCAGCTTATTCGGGACTCTAATGAGCCTAGCAAGGAGGACCTTTTTCTTTACATCGTTGCACCTGTGACTAATCTACTGGCCAAAGCGCAGTATATCGCCTCGTTAGAGGCATATGATACAGTGGCGATGCTTATTAGCCGCCGTAGAGCTTCTCCGGCATTCAGGCTGTCCGATATTATAAAAAGCTATTTCTTCCTAGCGTCCGATACTAGTGACGTAGAGGTGGGTGCTATCCTTTTCAGAAGAAATGACAGTAGCAAGTATCGGACTGCAGCTTAATAATCTCATTGCTTTCGCTAAAACCAGGCAGCGTTACCTAATACGGGAAAAGGAACTGCATGTGGTGTGCTGAAGCGTAAAAGATAACGGCACAAATCACATCGACATCATCATGCTGTCCAGACGTGCCATCAGTCATCAATGTACCTTGCCATGAGTTTTCGAGATTTTGATAGCTCGAAAACAATTCTCTGCAGGGGGCCTTTTCTGTAGTGCAGCTTAACGATGATGTATATTGAGGGCATCCCCAACACAGTCACCGACGCGCCCTCGCGACATCCCAGCAGATGACTATTCTGCTGTCCAATCACTTTTGATTATGTTGATCGAAGATATCTATCTTCATTGTGCAATATGCTTTTGAAACTAATCCATTCGCTAATAGTGCCAAAATCGCGAGTGAAAAAGAGTTCCTCATTACCACGCTAAACCAGTTATACTTAAGTGAGATGTAGTTGGGAATCGACCAATTAGTTTGACTGCTCATATGCATCACTTATTGCAGACTATGCCAGCTCGGTACCACAAGAAGCAAGGTTGTGTGGGTGTGCGCTAACTGCCTTGTGTGACTCTCTGTACATACTGGGAGTGGTTGACTGGTACATCATCGAACGCCCTGTTGCCTTACCCCAATGTCGGAAATTCTGGGGTGTGCGTGGGTAGGAGAAGGCGAGGGTCTTTGGAGAAGTGATCAATAAGGTTTCAAAGAATTGGAAGTGTCCGGACTTCAGTGCCTCCCTACTGAGACATTAGATGGAGCGCTAGAGAGTGAAGCGATGAGGCGTAGGACAGGAAGGATATAGGGATTATTGATGGACACACTAGAAAACTTCGTAGCAAGTTTTGTACCGAGATTCACCGAGATCTTGGCTGAAATTGTCTCCTTTTGTATAACGCATACGAAGCGTTATTCAGCAGTCCCTGCCATGCACAAACAAGCCCACGTGCACGAGCGTAATTCAGCCCCCCCATTGCAAAATAATATAGCCCTGCCGTGGACTGGCTATTATGTAAAGATCGCCAATTCATTTACTTGGTAACATAGCTCTAAAATATACCATAGTGTAGGCTTGCTAGCCTAATACTATCATGGAGCTTCACGGACATATACACGCCGTATGACTGCGCTGGCAGCAATAAGCATACTCAAAGTGCTGTGCTGAAGGCGTGTAGGGTCGAAACCACTTCAGTTGTGCAGTAGTACAGACGAGACACCCAAGTTACATGTACCAGCACAACAGAGGAAGGCCCTACGCCTTCGCTGGCACGAAAGACATACACCATTGTTCAGAGCTTCCGACTTGCAATCAGACAATTATTTTATGGGTAAATATCTAGCATTTACGCTTCGAGGTTATGTGGGATCCCCAAATACGTCCAAGGAGGCAGTAGCTACAGGTTGGCGTGAACCCAGGAAACAGAAACGATGTGCATATACATATCTTGGACGGTAACACTATTTTCTTAGATCTTAACAGGTGAAGACACACATTAAGCGCTGTAAAAAGGCAAACTCTTCTTTTCAGAATATGGTATTAGGCATGCAGGGGGTGTATGTATACTGAGAGGAACGGAGTGCGTCTCGCAGCCTGCATAGCTCCCATCTACAATCGAAACCCTTATCTGCAGTTTGATTGTGGTGTGTCTCCGGAATCTCTAATTGCATTTTGTTCCTTTTAAATCCCAAAACCTCTCTGCAGATCTGACACCCCAGTTCGTTCCTTCATGGATTCACACTCAGGGTCATCTGTGTTATAGCCTCACTTTTGGGTGCCCTGCAAACCGCACAGTCCACACCCTATAACCTCAACCCCGAATCTGCAATTGTCGGTTTCTTTTATCCCAAGGTCTATCCCACCTCAACTTGTAGTGCTCCTTCTACAGACTCGCCGTGCGCGGACGGAAAGGCAAGGCACGAGAGCACAAAGTAGCCACGCATTGAGACATAGGATTTCTCTGCCTCTAGATGGAGTTCTCCAAAGGAATGGGGGTAAAGAGCTTCCTCGCGGCCTTCGCCGCAGGAAGCCTGGCCTTCATAGTGCTGGAGTACTGCAAGACGCGGGCAAGCCAACCCCATACCCTACACCCTAACCATCTATCGCCCTTTCCGCTCAAGCCTTCGTCCGGCCCAGCTCCTCCTGCTTGCAGCGTCTGCAAGCTTGTTTGTGCTTGGTCTTTCGACTCCTTTCGACCCCTGTGAGCTGTGGGACTTAGCTGTACGCACGTCATGTTGTGAGGGTTTGTGCTGTGCAAGTAGGATGTGTGGGGCTACATGTCCTTTACGTACACGGACTTCTTCTCCTTTGTTATTGGCTTCTTTGGCCGACCTATCTTGAGGCACTTTTTCACCCCGCCAGAAGACTTCTGGAACACCCCTAAGGAGGTTAGCCCCTGATTCAAGGCCCTACCGTAAGAGTCTTCCACGCCATACTGGGGTGCAGCTGCTCGCCCGGCAGCATGTGGATCCACTCATCCCTCCAGGCTTCGAACTCTTGCGAAGTTTGCAGCATTTCAGCAGCGCCTATCCTCATGGCCAGGACTCAGGGTTTCCAGTACATACGGCAGAGGGGCATGGGCTCTGTCGTTTGCCTTTCAGGTTGAAGGACTAGAGGCCCCGATACACATTGGTCGCGACTCTCACGGAATTCCCTATCTGACTGCATCGAGCCGTAGGCCCAATCCAAGTCTCGAACTCTGCAGAGTCGATGTCGTCTAGATCCGTATCCTGCTGTGAACCCTAATCTCTCTCGCCCCTAGCAGCGAGGGTGCGCCCGGTAGACCCCAGCTGAAATGTGTTGACGTTGAGGCTCAAGGGCTCGAAGCTAAGGCTTTAGAGCCAGAAGCCTGGTTTTGTTGTGGCTTGCGTAGGGGATGACCTCTGCTTTGGCCAAGGCTACCTTCATGCCATTGGTGATTCCCTAGAGTGCCCCTTGCCGTCACGCTCCGTAGTGGATGCCTCAGTTCGCGAGGGCCTCCCTTTCTGGGGTTGCTTTTCTGCGCTATGCCTGTTTGTGGGCTGAAGTTGGTAGTTAAGATTCAGCGTGTGCCGGTTGTGCAGAGAGGCCCTTTCAAGTCGAGTTGTTGCGGCTGATAGCTGTGGGAAGGTCGGCATCCGTCCTTGGCCCGTCGATGACCGATACTGATATGATCGCAAGGTGATTTCAGAGCTTTGGCATCGCGTGATTCAAGGCTTTCTAGAGCAACGGATACGGCTTCGAAATAGGATATTACAGGTCACGTAGTGGTGTCGGTGGGACGGTGTGCATACAAACGGTGCTTCCAGGCTTTCGCGATACGCTGCTTGATTAACTCACACCGCTTTGGGCTTAGGGCTTGTGGTTTGCAGGACTGTCATCTCCGAAGATGCGATCTTGTCGAAGCTGCGACGCATGCCGCCTGTCGGCATCACCTGTATCTCCAGCTATGCGAAAGGCAAGAATTCAGGACCTTTAAACCCCAACAGCTCAGGACTTATGCCTGAGGGGCTCGTTTCACACGCTTGCTTGTTGGAATGACGGGAGGTTTCAGTTTCGCCGGACGCCCAGTCAAGGGCTCAGCAAAGGAGATTTTGATGCGGGTAGTGTAGAAGCTTTCCTCGTGTGCTGTCACCGGTTCAGTCGCTTTGCCCCGACTCTAGGAAGGCCAAATACAGAGATTAGCTTCTCTGGTGTGCATGTGGATTAGGTGTTACGGAGGCCCTGAAGGCTCTGCCTGCTCGGCCTGTCGAGTTCGTGCTGCTAGGCCACACCCCGTCGCTTCCCTACACTACGATGGACGTTGCGGCTGTCACAACGCTGTTGTCGCTTATGCTGAACAGAGGTCTCACAAGGGACTTTGTCTCTGTGCACCTTCACGAAGCACTGGGAGACAAGGCGAAGGTACGCGGTTTTTAGCGGCCGTGAGTTAGTAGAGCCTGGGGCTTATTGGCGTCGCCACGCGCGCGGCGCGTTGCGCAGTGCCTTTCTCGCAGTGGATTCTGCGCCTTGATAGGTTGCTTGGATTGGGGTTACAAAGATGTTGCCATCGGATATTACGTGAAAAGCCACGCATTAGAGACCCGTAGCATCGTCCCACCGAGCCTTGTGGGAAATGCCTTTTTCTCAAAATCCGGATTTCTCTGCGCTGTCGACTGACGTTCTGCGCTGCAGCTGTTTTCCTTCGGATTTCCTGAGGGTATTCCTCCGCTCAACGTGGACGGCAATCGCCCCAGCCTGTACGATCTAGCAGGTCAGCCGTAGACCCTAAATCCCGAGCTGTTGCGCTGCTTACTAGTGGGTCTCCATCCCACCTGGGAATGCATTGGCATACAGCCTACCACATACCCCAAGTGAAACTTTTTTTCCACTGTGTGGGTGTGGTGCTGCAGGCAAGCCAATTGAATTCCCCTCGGTGGAAAAGCAGGACACGGAATGGGCGTCTAGAGGCCCTCATACCTGCCCAGAGATGACGGAATCCCCGCATACAGACAACCCAGAATTCGGAGGACCTATGCACGACCGAGATACCAACCCCGAGATTACCGTGGAGCGCATGCGTCTATTTTACGAGGAACTGCAAAAAAATGCAGATTCATATTACATTAAGCACCCCAAGCCCTGGGAGGAGGGGTCCCGCGGCGAGGAAAGCAACAGCTTTAGCCTCAAATTTGTAAGCGCGCCGAGTGCAGCTTGCTTGCTTGCAGCTGATGGGCATCTTCACCAGCGTGTAACCACTGATCTGCGTGCTTGCCTGTCTGTCCATAATACATCTGGGATCTGCACGCAGGACGGCAGCAACGGCTGGGCAGTGTCTGGAAAGTTCACCAAGACAGGAATGCCCCTTGTGGCGGGAGATCCACACGTTGAGGTCCATGCTCCCGGTACGAGCCCAAGCTTTCCAGAGTTCCTGCTGCCGGCAGGGCCCTAGCTCTGTTCTGCTGGCTCTCTTAGGGCTTGTGGCGTGCAGAATGAGATTGGAAAGAGTGCAAATGGCTCCCTCTGCGGATTCGGCGAGTGTGTGGTGTAGGCTTTTGGATGCCCATGTGGCTCAAGTCCGACGGTCGGGGTGACGGCCGTCCGCTCCGCGCTGTCGGTGCCACTGCTGTCGGAGCCACGGGTTTGTTTGTCGGTGCGTCAAGGGGTTCATGTTGAGTTTCTAGAGGCGAGAATTTAGAGCTATCTGCATGGCAGAGGCGTCCTGAGGCCTCTTTTCTCGCCACACTTTAAGTCGTGGGCTGTTCTGCGCTTTATCCTCTTCCTGGGGAGTGCATGGCCGCCGCTTGCAAGGAATGGCCAGTGGATCAGTTCCTGCCGTGTGCTTCCGCCCTGTACTTGCAGGGCACAACGAGCACGCGGCCTGGACGCAGACAGTAGCGCATACCGACATTGAGGACCTCTATATGATTGAACTCAACGAAGAGGGTACCCATTACTTCTATGACGGAAAAAAATACCCTCTGAAGTTGATCGAACACAAGATTCAAGTCAAGGCAAGCCACAGTTTACGGCTAGGCAATTGCGATTCGGGCGTAGGCACGCGATGGTGGAGGGATCAGATCACGCTCCGCTTGCGCATGCGGAGAGTGGCCCTCGCGGACTGTGTTGCTATTAGCCTGCAAGCTCGCTAGAAATTGTCAGCTACGGCGGAATGAGTTTCTGCAAAGGTTTTTGCGTTTCGTGGCTTGCTTTCAGGGCCGCCCCACACCCCTTCAGCATATCGCGCGATACAGCCACCATGGTCCGATTTTCTCTGACGTGATGCCGCCTCTCCACAAGAGGCTCCCCAAGAAGAAGGCCCTTGTCCTTGCCTCTGTTGCAAGTGGGTGCCACGCGTTAATTTAAGTAGATGCCTCGAATGCTCCAGCACTCTCTATGTGCTAAATCCTCCACTGATAAACCCATGCGACCCAAGGGTGGTGAGATCGTTTGCTCATTTCAAGCGCTTCAACAAAGCACAACCAATAGGACCCTAAGGCTCTGGATAGCTGCAGCCTAGTGCTCCTAGGGAGACGCCGGGCCTTCCAGACGTCAGCCTTCCTGGGCTAAAGTTCTTTTTAACTCTTAGCCTCTCCGGCAAGCATACGACCTCAAAAAACTAAAGGCTCTAGCATACTTCACAGACTTATCCCAAATCCGGAGAATTGTTCTGAGGTGCTTTGATGGTGGCCCTTCGGAACGAGGGGGCCGGAGCGTAGCGCTTGCCAACATTGTGGGGTAGAGGGTTGTGATTTTGCTGTGTGCGAGCAGTGCGGGCCCCTTTGCCGTGGGCTTGGGCCGAGAAAATGCTGTACGGGAAAACATGGAAGGACTACATCGAGATGGTCAGTGTTCCAAAGGATTGACACCATCCACCGGTCAATTGTAGCTAGGGGCTGACTGAAAAAGGTCGAGCATTTGGGTATTGTTGTCTGGACTCCTAGAAGGGAAGGGCTGCTTCTGGCGGTCTCAGACAGAGCGATTTCTAGCGCATGGGGTGGAGATTCTCTATGCGTGCGCTCGTAGGGGCAGCTTGCGCAAATGAACGAGTTCGTTGCCGTGTGGGCGACCAAGGAAGGTCACATCGGCGCCTCAGTCACCGGCGCAGTACCCAAGAGACCATATTCCCCCGAGCCTGGATACAGGAATGGTTCTGACTCAAAGCAGGACTGGAAGGTTCGTTAACCCCGACTGCTGAGCACACAGGGATTCGGCGATTTGCACTGTTGCCACAAGGCGGCGGGGCATTGGTTGAACATGTAGCTAGCTTACCAGCTCCGAAAGAGTCCGAGCATGCCTCAACCAGATAGGTGCAGAGCTCAAACGAAGACCCTCGAAATGCCGCAATTATGAGGCGAAGGCCTCGCTAGCTGAGAGAGGGCGCGTTGGCGAGCTGGAGAACCCTGCTTGCGAGGCAGGGCCAAGGCCTTTTCTTGAGTGCAGTGATGTGTGGCTTGACGGCTTCCTGGCTGCAGGGGATCGTGCCACAAGAAGAGATACCCTTCGTTATGAACCCCAAGGCAGGGGTTGTTGTTGCGGGCAACTCGCTTCTCTCCAGTGATCCCAAGAAGGTGTACGGCGAAGTGTATGTTCCAGGGTACGTTGCTTCATGAGATGATTGGAGACTGAAAGCCTGTAGAGTTTGGGTCCTTGAATCCGGATAGCTCTCTCTCTACGACTCAGCAGCTCTAGATAAGGCTACGCAGGGCTTAAGAACCCAACGAAGCAGGCTTTTGAACTAGTCAATGGAGCTCTGTCTTTGGCATTCGGCATGCGCGATTCATGGCTTTGGAGTATGACGCCGTGTCGCTTACAGGCACCGTGTCCGTCGAGCACACCAATTGTTGGCCGAGCTGAAGAAAAGCAAAAAGATTGAGGTTCAGGATCTCATCAAGATGCAGGTGCCCCTGAATCCCAACCTGCAAGCGCTAGGCCCGGGCGCACAAGCTATAGCCTCTAATGTGTGGCCTTCGAATGAAGGCCCCCGGGGACTGCTTGGCATGCATGTGGCTGACTAGACGCAGCATTTCGCGGGCATGCATGCCGCACACTGAGGGGTTCAGTATGTGAATTAGTTCAAAATGATTTTGGCCGTTGCTTGCAGGAGGACCAGTACAGCGAGAACGGTTGCGAGTTCAAGGACTTTGTGCTCAAGGAATTTCTGCATCGCTTTGACCTCAAGAATAACCAGAAGGAGGCAGCTGCTGTCTGTGCCGAAGAGGCTGTCTTCCCTTACGTTGCCAGACTGTCCGTTCGGGTGCAAATGTCAGGGTTTAGGGCTTGGGTCTTGTCTCCGTTCATGGTTCCCGCTTAGTTTCCCTCTTTCTCCGAGTCTGCCTCTCCCTATGCTCCACTGTGTCTCTGATGTGCCTGACACGTATGAGCTCGGAGCTCAGTATGAACAGGTTCTGAAATGCTTCAGGTACGATTAGGTTCTGTAAATATGAAGTTTTGTGTGTGTAGGTTGACGGAGGCGATGGAGTCGTGGGACTGCTCGATGAGCGCCTCCTCCTATGGGGCCTCCATTTATGAAGTTTGGCTGCAGATGATGCTGCAAGAAGTGTTCAATGCGAACAAGTGGAGTAATGATGCTCTATTCACTCTTGTTGGTATGCGACGATTCCAGGCTTCCAGTTTTGGACTAGGGTCCGCGGATGGCGCTCTTGGGCTGATCACTTAGGGCCTGGAGTCTAAGATTTACTGCTAGTCGCTAGGATCCAAAAGTACTGCGGTGCTTGGACATTGTGTTGAAGGCCTACGTTTTTGCGTTTGTGTATCTTTGGCTGTGGTGTTGTGCAGGAGGGTGGCTGCACCCAACATGGCTGCCCCGTACAGAAGCTCTCAACCACTGGCGCATCAACCTCCTTTCTGCCCTGAAATCCAAAAGTACGCAAAGATCGAGGGTCTAGAATTTTGCATCTTTGATGTATTTCGGCGGACCAGTGTCTTCTCAGGCTGTACGAGCTGGTTTAACGGTAGTCGTCAACCAGATGGATGGCTACATTCATTTCTAGCCCTCTAACTGAATGCTAGATTCAAACGTGCCACTGATCGCCACCACACTGTATGGTGGGCCTGCAGTAGCTGCTGTGTGCTTGGAGGTGTTTGCGTGGCATTGCTGTGATTTTTGCCTACGGACTAGTGTGCTGTGGATCTCTGTTTCGTCGCGTTTCCTTCTATTTGTCGGGAGGCCCATTTCTGCGTTCAGTCGTATTTGCTTCTGTGCATTTACCCACAACCCCTTCCAGAGTCTCAACTGCTAGGCCCAGAGCTGACGATGACAGGTCTCTTTTGCAAATCCGCCCGTGCAACCATACAGTACCTCTCCGCCCGTCTTGGTCCAGCAGTCGAGGACTGGGAGTGGGGGAAGCTGCGCAGCCGCTACGTCGATCATATTTTCTCCCAAGAAGTCCCAGTCCTACGACACCTGCTCAGTGTCGGGCCACTCAAGTGGGGAGGCAACTTCGGCACCATCAAAGCGCACCACTTTGAACCACACAGTGAGGTTTACGAGGGTCAACTGCTCGGCTCTGCAGTGTGTTGCTTTAGAAAACAAAGTGAAAGGGTTGTTACTTGGTGATCAGGCTGCAATAAGATGCAATCACGTTTTCGCCTACGCGAGTGCTGGAATGGTAGTCTTGTGTGCTACCGTCTTGGGAATTCGACACCTTACGACTGTTATCCCTATTCGCAGTCCTAAAATCTGATGATCCTCTTAGCGGAAGCTACCATCACGGCCTAGACACAACTTCTCTTCGAGTGGTACGGTCTGGAGGGTGCAAAAATCAGATCCCAGTTCTTTCAGAGCTCGCCATCTGTGGCTACTTATTACAAGTATTCCATCTAAATCCGTCGCTGAGCAGTTGAGCTTTACTTTTCAGAACGGTTTGTTGAAATCGATGAGGGTTGGGGCTTGAAGCTCGCAGTTTGGGGTGTAGGCAGTGGAACTTTTCAGGTATTTGACTTGAAAGACTGGGAGAATTCTCGCTGGGCCTACTTTCCGGGTGTTTCCGGCTGGGTGGGCAGCAAGCACTTCGGGGACACTGCAGAGCTCTTGGTGGATGGAAAAGGTAATTCGCAGCAGTTCAGTGGCAAAAAAACTTCTTTGTTGCACGCGCGCCGCCTGTGTGTGAGTGTGTTCATCTCCGCCTTAATTGGCTGCCACACCTGCACTCGGGTTGTGTCTCTCTACGTATAAATATATGCCGTTCTGTGTATTTCTCACCTAATCTTTGTGTTTGTTTTGCCTGTCTGTACATGTGTATTCGATTTATTTCTGTGAGGTGGTCTCTAATTTGTTCTCTTTCACTGATGTATGTGGCGATCAGTGGTGCATTGGTCGCCGCTGTACATGTCGTACTCTTTAAGCTATTGTTTACCTGTTGTTGAAGCCCAAGACGTGGAAAGAAGTCGTCTTTAAATAATCCTTGTGGATATTTTTATCCCAGGTGGTGGTTGTGGGCGCAGTTTGTTGCCGTGCACTGCCTGTTTGGCTGCGTTGATATGTACAGAACAAATGCTGCCGATGCCTTGGGATGAAGAAAAGATTGAGGCATCCCTTGTTGCTAAGATGACTTTAAGCCCAAAGCCACGGGAACAGAAAAAGCAGCAGCAGCAGAAAAGGCAGGAATTTTAAAGGACAGGGCCCCTGCTGCAGCATTGTTCTGCCCCTCCTCCATCCGAGAGGTAGTGTAGTGTCATCAACAGCAGCCGAAATGACTAGCCAGTACTTTTTGGCAAGCCTTTTGTGCTAAACTGGGTGTTTCTGGGGGCGATTCAGAGTATTGAAGCTCTCGCAGGTCCTCTAGGACTGTGACGGTCTTTTTTGATACCTGTACCCTGCAACAAAGTTGTGCCAATGCTCTTCGTAGCCGTGTATGGAGTTGCTGTCCAGCAGCCACCCCACATTACAGCACTAAAAGAGTCCAGAGTCAACGACATGTTGCTGAGGCGACTGCAACGTGCTACAACACTAGCTCTAGTCAATAGTAGCAGCTTAGTGACTTGTTATAGCAACCACAGCGGGAAGTCTATTTCGTGCGCATCCTCACCCTCTCCTAGAGAGCACGGGTTTTGCACACAATTTCTAGTGTCCATGTCGTGGAGCTAAAACTATTTTCTACAGAACAAACTAAATGATTCATACGCTGGCATTTCGTGTGCCGCAGTTGGAGCCACCACAGTTCTGTAGGAAGAGGCAGCTATTGGAGGAAATATGAGGAAGGTCATTCGTTCCCCCGGCTCGCCTGAGCATAGAAGCGTGTGTAAGCAGGCCTCTGATTAAGCAGTTAGCATGAAGCAAAAATGACGAGATGTCATTATTGGCTAACTGCATAGCACGCAATCTACCACAAGAGGTCTGATTGCTGACGGCAATATGCGGGGAGAAACATTAGATGGGCACACACAGTTAGACAGCACCCCAGTGCCTAATGAGCTGAACTCGCAGGCCACACTACCTGCTGCAGCTAAATCAGCAGCATAGTCTCGTGAAAGTGTGACCTGATGGTAATCATGAGCATAAAAAGTTGTTTCCCTCGATGCGTTTGTTGCTGGTGCTACGGATACACATGCAGGAACCAGCAGTCTCTTAGAGCATGCCTACAGATGGACAAAATAAAGCAAATCGTATGCACGCCAGGTCAACATTACCGGCAAAGTGTGGCTGTACAACGCTAAGGCGAGCGACCTTGAACGAAAGGAAGGTTTTTAGCAGCGTACAAATTTCTGTCGAAGACCATGCAGGGCTCACGTCATACATCTATATTGGTAGCATTCTGTCTGTCTGGCTGGTCACCCGGCACCCAGTTCTTTCGCCTCTCAATTGTCCTCCGTTTCCCCTTCTACCCCCTCAATTGAGTTTTCTCCTCTGCCTTGTAGTTCCTGTACTAGGTTTGCTTGCTTGTCATTATGACTGCAACCTAGGTATCCACCACTACAGCTAAAATAGCAGCATCAAGCTTCTTAAGATAGCTTGATGCCTTTTGTATAATCATTTTTATTCATTGAATAGCCCCATGAGCTCATCTAGCAGCAAGTTAGACTTCGGGAACATGGCCCTTCGATCTTATCGCTGTCTCCCTAAAGAATGCTAAGAACGGGGAGAGGCACTAACCATGCTTTATGCACCAACACTTTTACATGTTGCGAGCTCTAGGACGCCACATCCTTTGAACTGGCTGCTGCTCATTTGATACACGCGTAAATTGATTTTTTTAGTGCTTCATGCTTATGCCGTTCTATGCGGGTCCTATGGATACCTTCGTCACATTTGCAAGAACAGCAAGCAGAACGCACACGATGCATTAACTGTGGCGCACTGCTGCCTTTATGCACTATGCAACAGTCACTAGTAACCAGCTCTTCACTCAGATGGTGTGGCCCGAGTTCACGCGTGGGGGCTTCTCCGATTCTGCCGGAGCTCTGCTTAAAAGCTTCAAAGCAGATTACAAGACTTGAGTTTACGAAATTTACGCTTGTAAGACAGGCGCCGGCTGTTTTATGTGTACTGGGGATTCAAACTTCACAGAAGTGGAGCAGAATGCTGCGCGATTGCACGCGACTTTGTGATCAGATGTGAGAATAGCAGAAATGGAAGTGATAACGCTTAACAACGCGTAGCAACGCATATTGACAAAGGAACACACAGGCAGCCTCTGTCTTTGAACTATCCTGAGTACAACTCATCGGCATGGGTGCGCTGGCAATGCATTCCTTCGTTGGTGTGCTTTGTTGGAGAGCATCCCTCCTTACGTTCTCTTCATCATGTATGGGAGGGCGAAAAAGAGTGGTTTTTGTCTCCCAAATTCATTAGTTCGTCTACTCTCATTCTGAGACGTCTTCACGCCTAGAGTGGCGCTGTTCGAGTATCCTACAGGGTTGCGACGTGTGGTGCAGAAACGGTAAATGAATGGCGTTTGATCTTAGGGGAGGTCAAATCAGCTACTTCACCAAAGTGTAGAGGGGTTGCAGGGCCGAACTTCGCTTTAGATAGGCAAGCGATGCTAATTTCTCATTTCTGCATCAAAACGAAACACTAGGACAGGTATCCTGCCCAACTGTAGCTTTACACTTGCTTTTGTTTGCCGACATCGCCATGTATTAAGCTTTGAAGCTTCATCTAAGCTTTTCGCACAACAGTTAGACCCACTAGACATTGAATAATCTTTTGTACAGGGAGGATTAGCTGAAATTTCGTCTGCGCAGCTTTTCGCGTGACTACGAAAAATGCCCTACAATCCAACACATTTGCCTAGCGTGTATCGCCGATTGGTCAACATTGATAGCATAGATTGATTGCTTGCGTCGGCCTGTGCAGTCTTGTCTGACCAAGTCATCTTAGACCTGCGATTCGTGGAGCGGTGGAAGCCCGTAGCCCCAGGCGCCAGCCGACTTTAAGAAGCCTAAAACTTCCACTGCTTTGTCTAATTGGTATCCCATCATTGGCGTATCTTGCTGTAGTTTTCGAAGAAGTCGATGCCGTGGCTTGCATCGAGCTTTGGAAATTGCATCGGCGCTGTACGGTCTCTCCTCGGATACACCACGAGCAGTTGTCTGCTCCATTTAAGGGATACTGCTTCTGTAGTTGACTAATAGAGCAATTTAAATATAGCACCTCAATATAAACGGGGGCAGATGCGTTTTGACCTGCACACAGGTGGGCTCACTTCGAAGAGCGACTACGCACCCACAACGCGGCAGACTCCCCACTTCTACTACACTAACCATGAAAGACAGCATCAAGTAAGTTGAAAGCCACTTACAGTGAGCGCTAAGGATCCTTGATGCGGTTTCCTATCTGCTAAGCTCTAGTGAGCTGACATTCTACAAGGAGCTCAACACTCATTTACGAAACAAGCTGTAATGCGCACACCAAGAACTCCAGAATGATAGAACAAGCAAACGGTTCCATGCCTTTCAAGAAACAAATTGAGGATGCACGAAACTTCCTTGATACTCGAGAATAGCTGCCTGGCAGGCTGCAGGTTATGCTACCCACTTCCAGATTTCCCTGAGGGTGTCCTGAGAACAATCATGCTAACCACCCTGACTCGCAAGTGCTTGCGATTACTATTGCTCAACGACAGAAAATCTATCTCACCGATGAAGAATCACGTTTACAGAGGGAGTTTAAATATGCGAGCGATACACGCGCTGCCGTCTCTATCCTATAGACCGGCGCCATCTGACAGAGTGGAGCGGCGTTTCGTCCGGCACCACACAATCCATGTTATAAATGTGTCTAGGCATCACTGAGATTTGAACCCGCGACTTCAGCTAAACACGAGATCCCGATGAATGGGAAGGAATCAAGCACCTGTTTTCAGTATTTATGGAGTTACCAACTGACCAACATCGAGTGAGCAATGGAAGAGTGCATCCGCATATTGTTTTCCTACTATTTCCTCTCACAAACTATTGATTATAATGGAGCTTCCGGCAAATTATTACTCGAATTATCAGCCGTGTGGGGGAAGCGCTACACCCAAGTACATTGCTCTTCACTGCGGAACTTTCGTGCCTTGGGTGCACGTCAGCACGCCTTACAAAACAATATCTGTCAAAGCGTAGATCTACCGTAGAATCTCAGTGCAGCATGCCATCCAGCCGTGAAACAATTTACACGTTTAGCAAAGCGAGCGACTCAAGTTTTTATGAGATCCGTCCCATGGTTCTGGGAGTGGGAAGCTGTCTCTTTGGACAATGGCCAAGTGCTGCACGCGAACTACTAAAACAGTATGTACATCATTTCTGTTTCCTTTTTCCTCTTTATCCCTATCTTGTCCTCTCTTCGCACCTGCTTCACTCAAGGGTGCATATAAATGTGGGATCTCCAACACCGTTTTAACAAAGCTTAGCCACCTCCCTTTCAAAGGGTCAGATACCGCAATCCGCTTATATATCATAAAGCACGTCAAATAAGGACAGCCAGCGGCGCCAACTCGAGATCGTAGAAGTTTTAGTAAAGCTTCACCAAACTGTTGATTACTTTGAAGTGTCAGAAAGAAGAAAGTGGTCGGCTGTGAAATCCAACCTCCGTTATTTGTTATTAATAGTCCCAAGCACAACGTCCAGGCACTGAGCCACCATCAATCACAGTTTGCTTAATACAAAAGATTACGTCAGGTTGTAAAAGCTCGCACGGATTGCGGCCTTGAGAAGGAGACGCGCCAATGCGGGGCACGTAGCCAAGATTGCATCGTAAGCAGTAGTCACATCATCAGGCTCACGCCACTCTGCTTGGCGGCTCCAGAATAGATCGTATACCGTACATTATTGCTATCCGGTGGCCACGTCCTCATTGGGGTCCCCTCTGACAAGATCCTGCTTTAACTGACAGGGAACGCTGCTTGGAAAGTAGTTTGTAAGTACGGACGAAGGCATATGGAATCTTTGCGGCATCCATTGTCTCGAATTTTGAAAGCACATTCAGATTTCGTTCCTTTACAGTTGTATGCAAGATTTAGCAGCTATAGTATACTTGCTTCTGCCCTTTCAAAAGAGACGAGGAAGAGCCAGTCAAAATGGTGTTTGCTTGTGGTCACTTCTTGGAAGCACTTTTCTTCTTTACCTTCCGTGTTGCTGCCTTCTTAAACTCCAAATATTCTTCCCTCTGGTTGATCCCACGCCAGTAAGACTGTAGGAGACATGCTGCATCTACTTTGCTAGTGTGCTCTGCTTTTGCCCTGTCGGACAGTAACCTGGCAATTTGTGCCGCATTCTCTTTTCTTTCTTTTTCTTCGTATACTGCACTTAGAGCTTTCATCAGGCAAGCAAGGGATTTCTCATCACATTCATTCCTATGGCTTAACTCTTCAATGTCTGCAGGGGAGCACAGGTAGCAGCTGCACAGGTAGGAGACCCTAAGAAGTAAATCCTGCCAATCCCATTTAGCGTGATGAACGAAATAATAAAATATATGAGGACTCAGCCTGTGTTGAGATCGGCAAGGGCGGCAGTTGCTTTTGGCTCTAAGGAAACACTGTACCCCTCTCCTTCTGGGCAACATCTCTGTCTAGCGTTCTTATGGTGTGCTCTAGCTCTCGTCTGGCGATCCTATGGCTACGGTTTGTAGCATCCATTTCTTCCCTTGCTGCAGCTGTCTGGATTGCCTCGCGCTTTTCCAATTGGGCCTTTAGGGTAGCAGAGTCTCCTGCCTTTCGATGAAAAGCTCGCGTCTGTTGCGCATCCTGCCTACAAATATCTTCATTTATCTGCCACAACCGTTGTTCAGTTGTGCTCTGTATATCATGCAAGTCGGACTTAAGCTTTGCAATCGCATCTGAGGACCTGATAGAGTGCTTTTGCCGCTCCGTCCGCAGCCGTGCCAGTTGTGTCTCCAAGTCAGCACGACGTTCCGCTGACGCGCGTTCCTGCTGGAGGTACAAGTGCAGCAAATCTTCATTTGCTTTCTCGTCTTCCAACGGTGTCAAAAACCGCTTCAACAATACATCCTACAGCCAGCCACTCAAGCGCGAAGATATGAGCAGAAAGTTCTAAACTCTCAGCTAGTTCCAGAATCAGCAGCAATAGAAAGGCACTTTGCACATAAAGAAGCTTAGCTACTTTTGTCAGAGAGCCCCACACAGACTTAGGCCTTGAAATTATTCATTCATGATTTTAGCAAGCAGCGCTCTTTTCAAGTGCCGCCCACGTGCATGTCCGCTACGGCGTGTATAAACCTCATGAAATTGACTGGCTTCACTTCTTGCAGTAGTCTTAGCTCCTGCACTAGATCTGGCACCTCTCGCATTTTCGCACCGAGTTCTCCGGTGTTCCTCTCTAACTGCTCAACAATTTCTTGCATGTCATCTACATACAAAGAAGTAGCGGCGGCCTCGTCGCCCGTTGCGGCACTGCCATGGTACAAATCTTCAAGTCGTATTTGCTCCACCATGCGTTTTAGAAGATCAGGGCCCACAAGCTCAAATGCATGACCAGAGTCATTATCATGGAGCGCCTCTACTACCTACACCACAAAAAAGGGATAGCAGTTTCACAGTGGCTTGCCAATGTTCCATAGTCGTGCTTTCCCCTGGCATCCCATAATCGACTTAGTTAATTGGTGTATAATAATAGTTGTGCTCCCACTCCGTGTCACGCATTGCTACTGATCCGAAACAGCTGTGCTTCAGTGCTGGATTCCCACTTGATGGTTCACCATGCTGAGCAACGTCAGCTTTTGTGTGAGTTCATCCATGACGCATGCGATTCGCTGAACGTGAGCGCCCATGGCTTTGGCTGAAGCCATTGTTGCCATTTCCTCCGGTATCCATCAATCCGAGTAGACTTTATGCTGCTTTTCTAGTATCTTGCAACGTATCAGAACGCACCTTGCTCCTTGGCAGATTTCGTGCTAACTTGTTTCATCCAGCTTGACATCAAGGAGTTGGCACGCAATAGCACGGAGGGCTTTCTATCATCACGATCTGATGCTAAATCGTACAGAGCGTAAGCCAGAGTCTGGCACGAACGGTAGCACACAGAAACGTTTGCGCAGATGCTGTTGGCCTGTGGAATTTTAAGCATGCAGGAGCAGCGCGAATTCGGAGCCTTAGGTTTATGTTTGTGAGATCAATGAAGACTTGAGATGTACGCGTTGTGAAAAGCTAATCGCGAAATTTACTAGACTGGGCACATTCCAGGGAAACCGGGTTGCTAGTTGTATCACGCAAACTCATGGGCAGCCACTTTGAGACCATAGGAAAGCCTGTATAGACATGCGAATCACCAAGAGTGTACACATACCTTTTTCTAGAAAGAAGGAAGGGGTAGCAAGCGAGGCTAAAGCCAAGCCAGGAATTGCAGGAGCTTTGGCAGTACACAGAAGAAACAAGCAGCTGACATAGTTTGCAAGACAAAATTATCGCCAAAATATCAAGTAGTATGGGAACACTTTTAGCTTAGCTGGGGTGAATAAGAAACAAATACAAGATATACACAATCCTGCCACTCCCTGCAACACTACGTAGGCCCCACTTGAGCGAATCGAGTAACCGTAATCTCCGCACTTACACAGCCACTCAGCTGACGATATCACCAAATGGGAAAGAGGTTAAAATGCACAGTCGAGTATGGGAATGCGTCGAGGCTACAAAACGCATTTGCGGGCCTTCCGGCACTGGGGTAGCCCAGTCCCGTATGCAAACACTCCACTCCTAGTGCTTTTCAGGGAAACCGCAAGTGATCATTTTCACACTTCTCGATCAATGAACGCATTTTGAATGGAATGAATATGAAATTAGCGTATTGCGAGCCTCACTACACTTCCAGTGACGCAAGCATTGTGTATATCCAAGACTTCAGTTTGTCATCACGAGTGTGTGCATACCAACTAGCAGCATCATAGTACAGGAGCTTGTTTGAATGGACGTTGACAATGCCCTTTACTTTAGAAGTTTTAGAGCACTCATATATCCTCCGCGACTGCAGATGCACGGAACTGTGGTTTCGCCAGGGGTCGTCCCAACCCACTCAATTGGGCAGAAGAAGTAAAATTGACGCCCGCAGATTATCCTTACCTCCTCTCCCTGCTGCGTAGCTAAATATTAACTTACTGTGCTGGAAAAACCACGTAAAGGCATGCAATGGAACCCTGTATTGGGAGAGTCAGGCCTTGTTTGTTTTGTTCTCCCCTGTAAGCATCATAAGAATAAGTGAGAGGGGCTTTATATCTTAAGCACAATATTCATTCCCTGTTTGTGTCTTATTGCCTTTTGGCTATTAAGGCTGGGAAACATGAACACAGGCGCCACAGGCGCTTCAGCCCCAGCAGCCAGCGACACCTCTGTTCGCTTCCCTGGCTGAATCCTAGTTACCACACTTTTAATGCGGTCTGAGAGAACCTCATCTTCAACACAAAATAAAACTCAATGGATGTTTATTTCACATTTTCAAAGATATCTATATCTCCTTTGCCTAACAACAGACGTCCTGGCATGGTAGGAGGAAGAGCAGAGCAGGAGTAAGCAAACGTACCCCTTGCACATTCCTTGCATTGCCACAGAAATGCACAAAGTAAGTTATTGCGCATTGATGCCTTGAACATTCATGTAGTATGGGTCCAACTCATGTTTATGGACGCAGTATCGTATAGGAACGACAACACAGCCCTTCAAAGCTGAATGTAGTAGAGGAATTAGTACCTGCATACGAGTGACCAGGCCTCACCTCACAAGAGAGGCGTATACCCGGCGACGGTGCTGGCGCTACATCTTGTCAAAGCCACAGAGGGCTGCCAACAGGTCAATCTTTACTCAGGAATAACTAAAAGGACCTACACTTCTGTAGTAAGATTGTTGTGAATTTGGGGCTGATTTCCCGAATTAGTGACACCAAGATAAAATCGGGAAACAGCTAACCTTAGATTTAGAGACTGCCAAGAATTGTACTAGATTTAGTCCGCTGATGAACTCATCCATTGAGGTGTTCCGAAGGGAACGAACACGAACAAGTTTTGCACACGCATACACATGGGCACATAGGTGAACTGAGCACATTAAAATCAGAACACGTCTACGGCAGAATATATATTTGCATAGAGTGTGCATTGCAGGTATGCTTGAGGACCAGTAGCAAACCAGGCAACGGCGTTACCTACCCCAGCTAGGCAGCCTGTCCAACGACTGACAGGACAAAAACCACGATGGAGCATGCATTGTTTGACGAATGCATATGAAGAAGAACGCATCAGCGCAGGCCCTTGTCTTATCACCCAAGACTCCCAAGGCAGATGTGGGTGCACGTCTAGAGGTATGTGGAGACCACAGAATGGTGTTACCGGTTGACTTGCTTTTTAACAATTATAATTACATCGTTTCACTAATGCTTATCGGTGCACGATTATAGGTCTTCAAAATTTGATAGACGAGCTGATACGTGGTAACAAGGCAATCGTTGGGAGCTTCATGCGATCCTCAAGCTGGCGTTTTATACAGTAGTCAAGTAGGGCGCGCACTACAATTACATGCACCCAAGGCTCTCTCAATTGGTGAAAATCCTGTTCACCTGATCAAATGCTACTCGCTTCCGTTGTCCTTCACGAGCGTGCACGTGAAGTACCTTAGCATAGGGAGGCACTTGAAAGGAGCCACAGCTTGGCTGCAGATCTGAACAATGCATGAATATCGGGGAGAACTCTCTGATCTCTGTTCATCAAGCGAATGTGAGCAGCACAAAGCAAGAAAAACGTTTGAGGGATAGTGGATAAGGACATCTTGTAGAGGGCGAATTTGCTTCAAGGCCCTATCTACAATGAAAGCTGGACAACCAGTCTGCACTGCCACAAATAAACACATCCTTACCTTCGTACTGGGTTTTCGGGAAGAGAAGAATCACGTTTCAGCGAGGCCAGCCTTTTTGTGGCCATAAGAACGTACGCTCAGGTTACAGAAGGTTTATGGAGCTAGCCAACATGTTTCGGCGAAGGCACGCCCTCGTTCTAGTTTTCGAAGCCTTCGGTGCCCATCCTAATAAGATAAGCTGAATTCTACCTCCAGATCCGAACTCTATAAGAAAGACCAGTTCTTTAAAAATCTGGTAGATATAAACCCCTTGTCGTTTTCACGCCGGAGACATCATTCAGACTGTCAGGCAAGGTGTTAGCGCGGCCATGTCATTGGGCAAATGCGCCCTTTTGCAATCCGCATGTATCCAGAAGGAGAAGCACAACATCAGGAATGAGGTGTCTATGATTCTGCTAATTTATGCGTGGCGCTGAAACATAAAAGAGAGGGCAACCTGCGCCCTGGGGTGCGCTAGTTCACTTTACTACTAAGATATGTTACAATACTTATAAATTACCATTCTCCCAGTCTAGGTGTCGATGGCTTCATTCAGCCTACTAATGCTCTTTTTCTTTAAGTGCTCACGAATGGCTACTGTCCAGGCTGTGGTAGACCTCCAGATGATGTCAAATATCGACGATCCGCGCGTGAATACCCATGCAAGTGCAGGCACAACCCTATCGGGGTAGTATGCCATGTTTTGATAACAATTGGATGCTTGGAAGGAGCCAATGTACTAACGAGGAGTTAGCAAGGAAAGCTAATCAATCAGAGAGGGGTAAAGAGTCCTTGACTCGGACCTCCCAGAGGCCTGACTGCTGTGTGCGAGGTAACCCTCCAGTTTCTTCTTTGTGTATACTGTTGCCAAATGCCTATACAGACGGCGTTCACCAGTTTTGTGTGGCTAGTATTCACTAGCTTGCTTCACTGGGTGTCTGCGAGGTAGCCACCGTATGCTTGTCCTAGTGCTGCCCACGAAAATGCTACAGAGTGCTTCTCTGCAGCACACGGCTGACTAGAATATCAGGTTACTGTGGCAGCATAATAACCTGATCAGAACCAATTTAGACACAAAAGCTGAAGCATGGGAATCGGGTGATTGGTCCATATGATGATTGGTTTTAAAGAAGGTTTCTTTAGTATGGGCTTCTACCTTGTCTCGCATACCCAGGGACCTCTCACGGGTTCGCACGGCATCGGTGATCCTAGCTAATACACAGTACTGGGCATGTTTAATATTACTTACTTGCTGTCTAACATCTCTGCCTGCTGCGGGCTATGTGTCTCCCACACAATGCAGCTTCAGGGCTCAGACTCTCTTGGCGCAGTCATAGTGTGAACAAGCTGCTCTCTCTCTGTCTCTGTCTCTCTGTCTCTCTGTCTCTGTCTCTCTCTCTCTCTCTCTCTTTCTCTCTCTCTTTCTCTCTCTCTCTCTCTCTCTCTCCGCTCTCCTCTCCACACGTTATATCTTGCTCCCCTCTCGTTTCTCATCTCATGTCGTCCTCTCATCACACACATTTAATCCACCATCGCCTCTTGCATCATCTCTCATGCTGTCACCAACCTTCTATCTTCATCTCTATACTTCTCTCAGCTGCGTCGCTCGCTGTGTTTTTATGCTGCGTCGGTGTCGGGGTGGGGCGGTGTGCGTGTGGGTGG